CTTCCTTCCTTCCTTCCTTCCTTCCTTCCTTCCTTCCTTCCTTCCGTTATTTGTTTTCCTTCTTTTCTTGCACAAAATTTCCCTTTTTGCTCCCCCTGTGCCTCCTGCTACCCTTCCTCATGCCACTTCTTCCTTCTTTGTGTTTTTTTACATCCTTCACCAACTCCGTCTGCCCATCCTTTTTTCCCTCTGGTTTTAGTGGACTTAGACAACTTCTATTTCGTTTTGCTCAGCTTTCAGAACATTTTCATTCCATAACGTGCGGCATGGATCAAATGTAAACAGCGAGGGAGAAAAGACATGATGCAAAAATGCATTGATATGGAAATTCAGAGCATTAAATATGTATGGAGCAAATATGCAGTATGAGTATTTTAGTAGTCACCTAATACTCTAGCTTTCACTGTATTTTAAACCTGTAAACTATTGAAATCTTAATCATAAATTCTGTATTTTTCAAATAAACTGTGGGAGAAATCCGGAAATTTGCTGCAGGAAATTTCAACATGCAGGAATCCAGATATGAGGATTGCTAAAGATGTTTTATTCTCTATGCTGTTTTTGGAAATTGCGGATTTTAAAACGACAAACACACTGACCAGATTTCCATCAGTCTTTATGTGACAGACAGCAGAGTGAAACTCACTCTATGGTGAGAGTAAAAACAGCATAAAAGATGTGAAAAGTCTGAGAGCTGCCTGTAAATGCATTCATGTCACAGATGTTCTGTCTGACACTCTCGCTGTCTACCTGTCTGCTTTGTTTTGACTCTCCTGAGCTGAAGTGCATGTTCAGAGCAGGCTGAATGCAATGTGAGGGTCAGTCGATGAGCATCCTCAGAGGAGGGCGAGCCTTCCTTTGAAGTGACCCTCAGTCACTCACTACTGGATTTAAAGCTGTACTGCTAAAAGCTTTTTCTATCAGAGAAAACAACCATTAGTCTCACGCTGGTCACCAGGTGGTAGAATCTATGCTGGAATTTTAAACACCTCAAACATTAAAGACTTTTACTTAATAAAAGCACCTTTATGGAGCGAGATAAAAATCTTTTATCTGACTCAAGGGTCTTTTATTTCCGCTGCTTCGGCAGGAATTAATGTGAATTTTAAACTGAATTATTAATAGTTAAAAAAAAAAGATACAGGAAACCTTTTTGAATAAAGGATATGCTTTACGTGAGATGTATCCAGTGGCTTCAGGATGCAAGTTAGTGGTGAAAACCTCTGCATTATGCAGCCGCTGCTGTTGGCATTCTAGACAAGAGGTCGGCCAGAGAAAGAAGAGGTGTCAAAGAAAAGACGGACCTGGAGTGCTCCCGTTTAATATTCAAATATGTGCTATTCCACCATCTGACCTCCAGATGGCAGTGCAAGTCCTCCTTTATCAGGAGGGAGAGATGTAGTTCAATTTTAGCTCTGACTTTTTGCTGTTTTAAAAACTCCTTTTTTTAAATTTATAGCCATTTTAAATAAGTGAGCAAATATTAATCTCTTCCAGGGTGAGGACGGTTTTCCAGGTTTTAAGGGAGACATGGGAATCAAAGGCGACCGGGTGAGTAGTTTGAATCAGATATCATTATTTTTACACTTTATAGGTTAAAATATGACATGTAGATTTTGGAGTTTCCTCTTTATGCTGAGATGTTCTTTTTCTTTCTAGGGTGAAATCGGTATGCCTGGAGCCCGTGGAGAGGATGGACCGGAGGGGCCGAAAGGCAGAGCTGGCCCAAACGGAGAATCTGGACCACTTGGTCCAGCAGGAGAGAAGGTACAGAGAGCTTCATTTTTCAAGCTTTCAATAAATTGGATTTTGCTCTGACTCATCTCATCAATGTGTCTCAGGGTAAACTTGGGGTCCCAGGATTGCCAGGTTATCCTGGACGACAAGGACCTAAGGTAAGGCAAGGAGTATCGTACTTAATAAAGCATCTTTTATTTGAGCAGGCTATAACTAATCGTATTTAGAAGGGGAGCGGTATCACATTTAGTACATTTATGAATGCGTTTAAAGGTTTAAGGTTTAAAGGTGAGATATTTCAGTGAATGAAATGATCTGATTTGATAAAATATCAGTCTGTCTGCAAAAAATAAACTATTCTGTTAAAATAGGTGACTTTTAGGATCATAAACAAGCAAAAATCAAAGCACAAGCTGATATCTTAACATTTAGAGGAAGGAAAGGCTTTAATTGGTTTGATTTTACTGAATAATCCTAAAGGTCAGTCCTTAGGACTAAGCTACACGTTCTGCTTTTCTGCTCAAGTATGAATGAATGAAACATTGTCATATGTTTACAGGTGTTGTATTCAAAGTCCTTGGGCTAGAGAAGAAACAACACCAGTTTTTAGGGCCAATGTTTTAATGTATGGTTTTTGTAGAGAAGACTCACTGATACTCATTTTATCCACTACCTAAATCTCTTTGGATAGCATTAAATGAAAACATATAAAAATTAGTGTTGCACTGATGCCATTTTTGGGCCCCAATACCTGGCTGTGCAGTTTTGGCCCATACCATACCAATACCATGTGTGTGAAATTGTTCCAGTAGAACTTTTTATTGCCTACCTAGAATGGATGACAATGGTTGAATACATTTTTGGCTCTCAAAATGGTATCGGTGCCCTATTTGTTGGTACTCAGCGATACCAATACCACCATTTTAGTGCAGTATCGGGAACCCGTCTGATACTGGTATCGGTGCAACACTGCTTGAACTGCAGCAAATGCACTTCGGTTTATACATAGACGAGGCTGTGTTTATTAATCTGGTTGTCTTTGCATGATCTTGGGATTTTCTTGTGCATGTAAACGGTGTGTTTAGGGGTTAAATTTCCAAACCGTTTTTCAACATTTTCAAAACCAGCATTATCTAAGAGGTAGAATCTCAAAAGGAAACATAAATGTTTCTCTGCTCTGATCTATCTTCCCATTATCTGTCTTAGTTTTATTTATTTATTTATTTGTTTATTTATTTGTTCTCTTGTCTTGAATGAAACAGGAATGTCTTGACACGTCTAAATTAATTATCTTTAAACACCTGAATTTTTTGTGTTTCCACTGACTTAACTTTTAGAAAGTTTCTACTCTCAATAACAGCTTCCTGATTGAGGATTGCTGCTGTTAGCTTGATCTGACTGGTTGTTCTTTAATATGGCATGTAAAATGAACAGAAAAAAATGAATGTCCAGTTTGATACGTTAAAGTTATAGTAAGACGTTTGAAGAAAATTAGCTTTGAAAAATGAGAAAAAGCCCTCTGTTTCTGTTATAAAGGTCACTGGTTTCACATTTTGTTGCTTGAAGAATCTGACATTTAAAGAATAAATAAATGCTAACAGTTGGACACTCAGAAAGAGATCTATAATTTCAGTGAATGAATGCAACATCATTCCTGTTGTTATGTATGCACTGACCCATACAGCCTAATCCTTCTGCATGTTTCCTCCCTCTGATATTGACAGGGCTCCAGTGGATTTCCCGGATTCCCCGGAGCAAACGGCGAAAAAGGAGCAAGGGTAAGAAAAACACATCAGCTGGGTAGACTCACTGCATGTGCAGCAAAATCTGCACAACCATGCTCAACTTTAAATGTGTTGCTCTACAAATGCACCTTTGTGAAATAAAGCTGCTGCAAGGAAACTGGAGTATACTGAACTTAAGGTCTGTTTAAAAAAAAAAAATCATAAAACAGGTTTTAATTTGATTGTTGAAAAGCAGTCCAAAGTCTTTAAGATCACTTTTAGTTCTAATATGTTATTTAAGTTCCAAAATATGTGACTGGATTTTACTGAAACATTATTATTGGTTTAAATATAAAACTGGACAACTATTATCTTTAGGTTAAAGAGAGTTTCATTAATTTCCTGATTTAAATTAATATTTTTATAGAATAATCATATAATTGGCTTTAGTCTGATGATGGCTGATATATCTGTTTTAGTAGTAGCCATTACCTCCAAGATAAAGCATTCGTCTTTTTTTTTCTATCAACATTTCTGGGAATATTGCAGCTGAATTAGGATGACCAAAAACTTTTAGTTGGTTCTGTTACAGTTAAAAAGGCTTTCATATTTCTAGAAGCAGGACAGGTTGCATGTGAGCTATATTGCCACCAGTGCAGAGCTTGCACAGTGTCGTGAGAAGATGCTAAGACATCTACATTGGCTAGAAATCTACAGGAAATACAGAGATGGATCTCAGAAGAATGGTTTAATATAATTTTCTCAGATAGATTCTTCTTTGGCTAATAAAAATAGAAGTAAAATAAAGCTGTACCATATGCAAAGTGTTATCCTCAGGAGCATTGTCATGAGCGGGATCAATTTAGAGGTTGGACCCATCAGTTCACAGCTTTGTGATAGCCTGCGTATTTTACAGCAGAAGGTGTACAGGATCCATGGACTAAAGCGATAAAATGGCAGAATAATTATGACTGGAGTTTGGTCTAGAAAACTCCATATATTGTAAGCCAACTGAAAGTGGTCAGCTGTAAACAAAATAAGACATTTTTTAGCAAAACAGTTCCCATCCTGTATGCATAAGCAATAGGCTCCCCGAATAGGCTCCCCGAATATGTACACTAAATTGATTGATCCCTTCCTAAAGGCATTTAAAACTAATGAAAGATTTTATTCATTCTACTTAAAACTACAGAAATATTTCATAAATTTTAAAAGTCAGCAGCAAAATATTTATGTCAAAGCCAAAACCTTTGGCATCGATTGCTTATAAACTCATAATTCTGCAGCATGTCCACAGATAATTGCTTCTGCATATTTCATAAAACAACAAAGCATAGAGAAAAACATCATTAGCTCATTTTATTCTTGGGTAAGGTATAACTTTTATTTTTCTTTGTGATGAAAAGCAGTTAAAAGTTCAAGTTGTCGCTAATCAGGAGGATGAGGCAGAATTTCCCCCACTAGATCTGAACCGTGCTTTGAATTGATTATTTTTCAAAACTTTGAGGGCTCGAAAGGTGACAGCATTGGGTTTGTTTTTTGTTTTTTCCCATTTTGATGTAAAATCAACTTGGCATCCAAGAGCGTGCCAAAGAGCAAAATAGAGGGATTTTTTTTCTTTCTTCTTTTAACACTTGGAGACTGTCTTTCTGCTTGTATTATGTCTGTGGACTAAGCAGCCACTAAGCAGTTCCACCCACCCACACACTATTCCACCTTATTGTTGGCATTTTTAAACAGCATACTAATAAAACAAACAGAAACACTTCTATTTGTTTTGCCATATGAGCTGTTTTACAACTTTCCTATTAAAATTAACTACAATCTGCTCCAGTGGGACTGAATCTAGTGCAAAATGCATGTTAGTTTAACTATATGTTACAGAACTTAATCAAGAAATCTTGTTTTAAGACAATGAAGCAAACCCGAGAGATTTCTCAACAGTATTGTAATGATATTTGTTTATTTCTGTAGGAAATGCTATAATAAAGTTTATGGCAGGCAAACCTTATGGGTGAATCAACTGTTTTTTCTTATTTAACAGGGCATTGCTGGTAAACCTGGGCCTAGAGGACAAAGAGGTCCAACGGTACGTCCTCCTCCCTCAGTGATTTATTGACTGCTTATATACTAAGCAACCATCTGAAAACAGAATAGGAGTCACTTTAATAAACTTGCTGTCTACCCTCCTCTCCTTGTTGCTTTATCTAGGGTCCTCGGGGGGCTCGAGGAGCCAGGGGTCCAACAGGCAAACCTGGTCTCAAGGTAAACATCTCATAGCAAAAAAAAAGCATCATTTTATTCAGTATTTCATCAGTAACACGACCTGTGAGTTTATCAGAAATGCTTCAGTGACCGTCTGTCGCTCCCCCTGAAGCCCATTCCAAATATGCTCATATTCAAACGAAATATCAAAACAGTATTGATGCGATGCTGTGTTGTTGCAGGGCACAGCGGGAAACGACGGCCCCCCCGGCCCGCCTGGCGAGAGAGTAAGTTTCAAACGCATGTCATTTGGTGTTTTTTATATGCAATGATAGTTCGGGTGGTTGTTTCGGTTCTCCAGACTCATTGCAGCGTCACATCAGAGGTGCGGCCGCCCAGTGGTTGGTAAACAAGCCCTGCTGCTGTATCAAAGCACAGCATGAAGCGGCTATAAATAGTTAAAATGCCTTTAAGCTGCTGTCTTTAGTAATCTAAGCTGAGGTTAACTTAGAAAAGGACCCATCAATCAGTCAACTGTAGGTGGGTAGAGAGCTGCTCCATACAAAAACACTTAAGACAAACAAAGCCCCCTGAGCTCAGTCACCTGTTCCACCTGCTTTTTGAGATATTTTTATTCTTTTGTTTTCACATTTTGTTGAACTTCGTGTTAACTTGATAACTTAGCCCTGCTTCGTATCGGTAGCTCTGAGATTGTAATATTTACAGACCTTTGAGCTAAAGATCATGGCCGCCATCTGGCATCCCATTCCATCAGCTTGAAATCCCCTGATTACAGTGTGTAGGGTGTGTATTGTTCATTGGAAAATAAGAAATAAACCTACAGGTCATTTATAAATGTAGACGGACCCAAATTTTTAAAGCTTTGTTTTGATTTAGATACCTTAACAGTGAAAACTACGATCGATGAGCTGCATAACATTTACAGCCTCTCCTAACTCTGATGACAAAACAGTCCTCTTAGAAAAGCACAGCCATGGTTGATGAGGGCGGCTGGACGCCATCCAAGATCAAGGACCTTCGCTGGCTTCTCCAACTGTAATACTCACAGAAAATAACAACCATTTTAATGTTTGACAGCTTCTCCACTTTCAGTCTAAGTGCATAAAGTATTGCATAGGGAATCAGTCAGGGAATAGCTTAATCAAATGTAAAAAACTAAACTTTTGGCCACTTGTTGAGCTCTTGCTCAGGGTTGAATGTGCAACACAGTTTGTTTAATTCATCGTATGTTTGAAAAAAAGAAATGCTCTCTATATGCAATATTGATTTTTTTTCCGCCGCTGTCGCCGTCCCCTATCCTAATCTGCCATCCGGTGCTCTCCACATTTATAGAAACTTGGAAAGGAAAAATGAGCCTGCTGCAGTAATGTGTGTGGGTATTAGGTAGAGTCGGATTTTCAATCACAGATTGTTTCAGAGCTCTGAGCTGCTGCTTTCATCTGGATCCTTTCTGTCATTAATAACCAGAACTTACAGCAGGAAACCACTTTCCACACAAATGGATAATTTAATGCCTTAAAAATAAAAGTCTTTGGAGTAAAAAGGAAGCAGCTTCAAGTAAATCAGTGGAAATATAGCAAAACAATAAAATCCCCCAACTTACGGGACATTGGTATTTTTGCCTATAAATTATTCTTAAAGAAGTATAAGTGTATCTTTTTATTTTTTTTGACTCCTTTATTTTTGCAACTATAAAATATTACATTATATGTTTAAAGCAGAGCAGTTGGTGTTAGACAGCTCTGCAGGCAAACAGGTTTTCACTAATAATTTCAAACACTCTCACCACTGATATTAAGTTTGGCTCCGTTACTAGCGTCCTACGTTAGCAATTAGCATCACTGGCATGTCCATGTTATAACCTGTGTGTGTACCCCACCTTACAGTAACTGTGAGATGAATTAAAAGCTCTTCTTTTTAATAAAACAGGGTTTTGTTGTATCCTGTACAACTTCCTATTCGTTGATGAGGTCTAAGGCTATATGCTCGCTGCAGTTCCTAATGCTTATAATAATATAATTTATAATTGAACTTAATTGATCTCACACTGGAGAAACTTACCTCTGTATTTAACCCATCTCCTCGGGGAGCAGTGGGCTGCCATTGTGCGGTGTCTGGGGAGTGGTTTGGGGTTAAGGGTCTTGCTCAGAGACCCAGAGAGCAGGCTGTGGGGATCGAATCGGATACTTGCAACCTTCTCAGAGCACAAGCCCACTGCTCTAACCAGTAGGCCAACACTCCCACCATGCTTAGTTTTGTCAAAAACGTAACAGAGACAAAATTCAAGCACAGACTACCACATTCGGGCTAACTTCTTTGGAATTGCAAAGTTCTCTTTTTGCAGGATTGCACATAAACTTAGCAAATCTTAACTGAAGTCACTCATCTAAACTGCTCCCATATGAGTCTCCCAACCTGCTCTGAATAGAAGTTACACTCCATATATCGAGGTCTAAAATATCGCCGTCTGTCCATTGAGTAATGCTGCAGCTGCTGTTCATCTTGCTTTTTGCTATCACTTCCCGTCGGCACAAAGTTGCGACAAATGTCGATTGAATGTGATAACAAAGTCGTGCTGGATCCACATTGGTTGTTTCCACTGGAGTGACACAAAAACATTTATAACCATATATTAAAATGGTTCCAATTGGACTTGAGCAAATTGCATATGGGCCACATCTGACTGTTCCCACTTATTCTAAAGAGTCTGACCCAGGCACGTAATCCCATAAGATGTGTGTTCAGGGCCTACAGTGACTCTCCTTTTAGGGAAATCTAAAGTAACCACCAACATACATCAGTGAAAACTACAGATTTCTTTCAAGAAAGCTCTTTGACAGTCTGTTTTTCTCTTAAAACCTTATTTTAAACTCTCTTTATTTTATTTAGCATCTAATCTTCAGTATTAACCTGTGAATGGTGTGTTTTCCAAATACCTTTGCACCAGTCAGGTGTAAAATTGACAAATTCATGCCATCAGACAATTTGTGGAAAAATATTATATAATTGAAATGCTCATGATGTTAGAATAGATACTTAAGGTTTACATAAAACCCAGAGACTGCACCTATATAAGAGTGCTTCTAACCATAGACAGTTTGCTTTTTTCCCTAATGGGCTTTTAAGAAAACAACTCTTGGATTTTCTCTCCTTTAGTGTTGCAATAGATCTGTTTTTTATATCTATGCATTCTGTGCCATGTTTGAATCTGTTTTAAGACATTTTCTGTAATCTGAATCTCAATCAGATTGATTTATTTTGTTCCCTTTGATATTTTAGATGGGCAACTAAAAAGGGATTGTTTATACCAAACAGCTTTCTTGAAATAACAAAACAAAGGAGAGATTAAATTAAATCCATGAAATTGATCTCTGCGTTCAGGTCTATGTCAGCTTTGCTATCTACATTTTAGATTTTCTCTTTCATGACATTTATTCCAAATCCCAGTAGTTGTATTCCTGGAGTTCTAATAAAGTGTATTTCTCTAAGAAAAGAAAATGCTCTGAACCTTTTAAACCTAGGTGACCGACTCAGCAGGAAAGCTAAAAAAAAATTGAAGTTGCTGCACAATAAAATTCTCCCAGCAGTGGACCACTGGATTTAATAACTTACATTGAATTTTCTTGGATTTCCAGCGTCGTTCTGGTGCACTTGGACTTCTCTCTGTTTCAGAGAACTGTGACATTCAAGCACGAATCTGAAGTAAAAAGCCACATATAGCAGCTTGAACTGATAAATCAGCTACAGTAGCCCATTTTCTGGACATTTGCATTTTTAATCAAAAGAAGGAGTCCCTCTTAGTAGCTCTACAATCTGTGATAAATTCAGCAACACAGGAGCTAATCTGCTGAAGGATCAACAGACTTTAATAAAGTCCAGTATTTTGTGCCTATGCTTCATCTTAAAGCTTGTTATTGTCAGGTTGGGTGGAGGCTTTGAGGACTCAAATGCACAGATACATTTTGTTTATTTAATTAAGGACTACTGGTAACTGTGGCAAAAATGCCACAAAAATGCAAAAAAAAAAAGCAACTAAATAAAATCTAATCAACGTCAGGGAAAATACACAGGGGAAGCAAGAGACGGTGAAGCAACAAAACAACAACAAGAAACCAGCAAACAGAAACTGCAGAGGTGGTGTATATACAGTAGTAGCCAATTTCCCCTCTTTCCTTGATAGGTCCTTGGCTGGTCTCCTACAATTCCCTTTTAACATCAAAAAATTCGTATTAAAATATTCTTTCTGTCATGATTTGTGGACATTAAGATCTAAAGAGAAGCATCATCTCCTGGTCAGACCCTGTAATTCAGTGAAAGGTTGGAGTCAGAGTAAAAAAATATGCAAGAGGGGGTCACTCCAGTGGCTGGAAGTGGGATGGATTCTGCTGGGAGCTGCAGGGAAGTTGGCTGCCATTCGGCTGCCGTTTGACTGGGAAGGGCCATTTTAAATGCCTGCTACTGTATGGGGAACAGAACAAAGGATGGGCTAATGAGCTGATATGGAGCAGGTGTGAAAAGGACAAACTAGGAGGGAGCAAAGGGGAAGGAACAGGCACAAGGGGGCAATAGAGAGTAACTAAATAAATACCAAACAGACAGAAAACAACTACAGAGAGCAGAAATCTAACAGTCATAGTTTTTCATACAGTAAATTTTAATAATTGTTATCATCTTTTGTGAAAAAAAAATCTCTGTCACTACCGAAATATTTCAATTCAGAAGTTTAGGTAAAATAAAACAGATCCTTTAATCTGTTTATGCCTGAAGTGTTTGGACTAGAGGCCCTTGAAATTTCCCAAGGAGTGAACTTCTTAGCATTTCCATCTAGATGCTGATAGGCAGCTTTCAACCTTTTCAGCCCTGTGATTCTCTGTGGGCGGAGGGCAATTCTGGGATTCCAAGATGTGACATTTCAGTTGGCTAAAACGGAAGTCATAAACTCCTCCGTCTTGACAGTTTTTACCCCTTCCACTGAGATATCTAAACTTCTTTAAAAATGTACACAATAAGACAGCTGCATGAAAGAAGATCATTTTAAATGATGATATGAGGGATAAAGATTATATTTGGACTAAAAATATATCTAAATGCTATATCAATTGTTGTTTTTTTTACTCTATTTATATGTAAACAATTAAAAAACACATCCCATGATAGGCACTGTAAAAGAGAGGTTAATTTTTAAGCTAGAATAATTTACTGTATTCATGTTTTGATATTAATATCTTATATGAAGAGATCTGGTGAAGCAAGGGGATAACGTGTGTTGTTAGGAAAAAAGCTTAATCTTTTTTTGCATTTTTTACATAAATCTTTTTTTTCTGGACTTTAAGTGACAGGTCAAACACAAAGGGGGGGGGGGATCTTTTAAATCTATACGTACCATCTTTAATAACTATACATAAAAAAATAAATTGATTTTATTTAGTTGCGTCTGGGTAAAGGTTGTACTCAAATGTGTGCAACAATTCACAATTATGCATCATTCTTTTTCTGTCCATCCAGTTGAAATTCCAAAAACATATCTGTTTGTGCCGATAAAGCACTTTGACGCTGTCACAAATATTTTTTTAAGGGTTTGATGAAAAGGGAAATTACATTTTACATATTAATACATTTTATTTCGCCAAGCTTTTCTTAAAACTTGTTTTATATTTTTAAATCCAGAGTGCCACAAAATAACATAGTAGAACTCAAGCACTTGATAATATGGATATAACACTGTAACATTTCACTCAGGTGCATCTTGGTCCATGCCATTATTGGAAGGAGGCCAGAATTAGAGGCAGGCCTCTATTTCTATTTGATCAAAACAAAATACCAGTGGAATGAATAAAAACGAGATTTTGTGTCTCTTTGAACCTATAGAATACTAGGTTCATTTATTTAAAAAAGTACAGTTACCATAATGGTATACAGAACATTATTCAGACATCTTCCAGCAGCTGCAATTTTTCTGCAAGGCAATAAGGGGAAAAAAAAGACACAGAATGGAATCTTGATCAAACTGACTGGCCAAACAAAGTTTTAAAAAAAAAATTATGGAAACTGTTCTGCAATCACAGCAAAATTTTATTTGAGGCAGACTAAGTGGAGGTAGGCTAACAGTATCTTATATTTCAAGGGAAATTCAACGAAGGCCAACGAAATTCTGTCATTTTAACGCTGCCTGGTTACCACCACACCTACCGGGAATCACATGTGTCTTTCAGATCTCAACGATTGTGTAAAGCCACTACAATCTCTGTGTAAGGATGGGACTTCCCATGCTAATGGCTTGGATTCGTTAGCAAACATTGCCCCCCTGTGGTACTTGTATGTTACTATCACAAGTTGTTGACTAATTATAGCCGCAGCCTGTATACGAGTCCGGCCACTATTTACCTCGGCCGACAGCGAGACAGGCCATTGTTAGAGACCCGGCTGCTAATGGAATACAGGCCAATATTAGAGGATTTACGGTAGCTCTGTATGAGTTATATTTCTCTAAAAATAAGTTGTTTGTTTTGTTACTCATAAGAATGCAGACAGAGCTCCATCTGGGTTGTCATCTACTGTATAAGAATTTATTCTAATAATTAATCTGATGGCATTTATTTATTTATTTTTTTGGGAGACTTGGTTGAGCAGATTTTTTTGAATTTAAACGTATTCATTTTTCTGTTATGACACATTGAAATGAAACGTTTAAACTGCAGTGTTTTTGCATAGTGTAAAAGGCTTCTGTTGTTTCTTGGCTGCAGGGACCTCAAGGACCTCAGGGTCCAGTGGGCTTTCCTGGACCAAAGGGCCCTCCTGTAAGTACCACTTGTTTGCCTTCACATGAGACGATCTCCAACAAGCCCTGTTAATTTCAGCTTTAACTTTCACAGTTTGCATCAAAACTCGGCTAAGAATAAAAGCACAATGGTTGATAAGACTGTGGAGCTACTTGCAGAGCCCCGGGACTGTAAAATATGTTTTTCCATTTCAGTCTAAGCAGTAAACATGTGGTAATTTATACAGACTGCTTCCAGTTTGACTCATAGCTGTCTCTTAAACAATGAGCTTCTTTTTACATCGATATTTTCTTCATTTGTGCAGAAGAGGTCTAAGAGTTTTTTTCTTCTGAATAATAAATGCTACACTGGGAAGGATAATTAGCCCTCTGCTTATAAACAGATGAGCAGAAGAGATTTTGTGCTACAAGTATTGATTTGCAAATATCATAGTCATGACAGTAGCAGTTATTTTACTGTGTAATGCATTTCTTTCCCCAACAGGGACCACCTGGAAAGGACGGGCTTCCTGGACACCCAGGACAGCGTGGAGAGACGGTAAGGACTGAATCCATTATTATTCAGTTTCAGTCAGCAGGGGATGTTTAAAGAAAACCTCAGACTCCACAGTAGGTAAAAACCGTGGAATCACTAAACTAGAACAGGACGAATCCTCCCAATATGTTTTCAGGGGGTTTAAGTGCAAATATTTATGTATTTTTTTTTTCTCTTGCCACACCTTTCAGAAAAGGTCTGATTCAGTGTCGATAGTAAATATTGTTGACCAAAAATATCTCTTTTCAAATATCAAGTTAAAGAAGCTCTCTGTAAAATATCCGTTTGTCTTTAACGTCCTGCTACTACTATATATTTTGTAAACCAGGTAATAAAGCCTTCCAGTGAACTCATCTTCAGTGGCAGTAGATTTATCTTACTCTAATATATAAAACAAAAACTTCTACTTTATATGTTATGTAGTTTAATAAATTCATCATTACTTATTCATATAATTTATATATATTTTGTCAATTCTCCAGACTAAAACCTTGATACAGTATTATCATACTAATCATTTCTTACCTCTTGGAAAGCTGTGGTTTCCCATCATAACAGAAGGATGAATAACTCTTACCTCAGGTTCAACAGATTCACTATAAATGACTCAAATCAAAATAGGATTTAACAAAGTCTGGTTGGAAAGTTGTACACTCTTATGCAATCAGCCAATGTGCAGAAACTTTTCTCTCAAAAAATATGACTTTCTTAAGCAACAGAATGAATGTTAAGTGAAAAGGGGGAAACTCTCTAAAATTATAATTTCCTTTAGTTTTGATTAAAAATGTTATTTTTACTGGTTTTGGAGATTTAATGCTGTTTTTAGATTGACAAAAAACTAATTTCTCCTATCAACTACTCAAAATGGGATCAAGATTACACAAAATACTATTCAACTAATGTTTATGTGTGTTGATCCTTATTAGCCAAGAATATTTTCTTTCCCAAACTTTTCCCAGTGGGCGGTGTGTCCTGAGCCCGTAACATTATCAATGACCCCTCACACCCCCACCATGGACTTTTCTCCCTTCTTTCCTCTGGAAAGAGGCTTTAAAGCATTCGAGGTCCAGCAGATTCCAGAACAGCTTCTTCCCCAACGCCATCAGACAGCTGAACTGTTGAAAAAACTCTAAATCATGTCACAGACTTCGCACCAAACCAAAACACAGCTTAATTGCACCATTTAAATTAAATGCTCTGAACTTCCATATCAATGCGTTTTTTTGCACCTTGTTTTTTCTCAAACGCTGTTTACATTTGATCACTGCAGCATTTTAATAAATGGAAATGTCACGAGAGCTGTACAAAAAACGAAATAAAATAATAAAAGTTGTCTAAGACTAAGTCTAAGTGGTAGAAATGAATAAGGAATAACACCAATAACCTTTGTGTATATTTTCACCCAACAAAAAGATAGTTACGAGAGTAGAATAGCTCGAGTGTGATTATGTGACTAGAGCAAAAAGCATTATTTATTTTAAAGCTTTTTACCCATACCCCTTTTTATGGCTCCCATCCTTCAAAGAAAGTAACTGAGAACAACTGCAACGTTTAACATGGAATTACTTGCACCAGTCACTCCTATTGCTCCAAATGACTAATGTGTTTACTAAGTCTGAAGTAAAGATCCCAAGGACTTCTGTGTAAGAATTACCCCACAGAAGAAAAAAAAAACTTAATTCAATCACATCTTGCTGAAATCCTCTGCTCTCATCTTCGATCTCCTCACTTAGTATGCATCAGTGAGCCTTTGCTTGACGAGTCCCCGAGGACAATAAATTTCACTACAAGCTTGACAGATCATCAACTCTGTTATTAGAGCTTCCACTTCCACCTGTCCCTTTCCTGTAGATAATGTAATACACAACACACAAGCTCTTCTCTGGCTGCGCTGCATTTCGAGCCATAACGATTGACACTTATAAGGCGCTAAGGGCTGCAGATTTACGTTCTGGAGAACAGGAAGCACAAGCATCCAATATGAAAATGGATCACAGCAATAAAGATGCTTTCAGGCATCCAATCTGAGCAAAACAATCAGAATTCCAGGAAGTGCAAATCAAGCCTTGATGCCGGTGTTGATGCTGTTGCGGAGGCTGGGATGGCGTGGCCTGAAGGAGTTTCATTGAATAATACATCACAGTGAACGGCGAAGTATAGTGATCAATAAGCCTGGGGACACACTGTATGTCAGCCAGGATTGGCTCCCTGAAAGCCTGGATCTAAAGCTTGCTCTGGTTTTAGGATGATAACTTTCAAATCAACTTATCCTCAGAGAATTGCTTATGGATTCAAGAAGCGAAGTGTTCAGTGATCGAATCAAACTGGAAAAGTCAAGTGAAAGTCAAAACCAAGAAGTTAGACAGCTCAAAGCTTTACAGTTTGCTTTAGTGTCATCACTGTCTGTGATTCTGCTTAACACATCTTTAAAGATTTATTCATGTCAGCCAGTTTACTGAGGTGTTCTATGTGAGAATGGCAGCCCTTATCAGCACAGATAAAGGTAGAAAATGTTTGATTAGTAAACTAGGACATTAATATTTAAGTACAACTCATGTTGCTCCAGAGCCTTGTTTCATCAACATATAATATTTGAAAATGCGCGGTGTGGCGGCTGCGCTGAGGAGACCAAGGAGAGTAAGGTGGGGTTAAGAAGTGGGCGACAGCGACACACTGGAACTTACAGCAACACAAACATGGAGAGCAGAGCAATCCCACTGAGGATAGTTTTGCAATCGTAAATGGCGGAGGATTTTTCTCTAAAGTTTTGACAAGACACAGAGGAAATAAGGGATAGAGAGGAAGGTTCTGTGGAGTCAAGCAACCCGGATTAGTACCATTTGGCTCCGAGGTGCCGTGTGGCGGCTCCTTCTTCCCACATGTAGTGATTCTTGTGGAGACCGTCAATAAATATGTGAACAAAACCCTTAATATAAACAAAAATATCTAGAGGCATTAACATATTTAGTATAAACGGACACTTATTTCCTCCAATTTTGATACGTTTTCTAATTTTTTAAATATGATTTAGAGAAAAATTATTATTTTACTAGGCTGGTGAGTGATGCAGACTTTTTTTTAAATCCAATTTACTATTTTTTTTTTAATATTTTCTTTATTAAGAAAAATAAAAAAAAATAAAATATATTTTCTTTTAATTAAGAAAACTCCTGCTACCCAGGGTAGAGCTACAGTACTGCTATCGATTTTCTATGTAACCTGACATACCCAGTTACCCAGTAGTAACCCTGTTTAAACCTGAGGAGGCAACAGACAGATTTACACACAAAAGCCTGATTTCAATACGTTTGCAGTAGATTGTCAAATAATACCCAGTTCAGATAATTATAAGACATCTGTATAAACGGCTCTTTGAAAAGATACAACTTTAAATTTGACAATTTTTACGGTATTACACAGACTTTATGCATCGTTAAGATAGCTCAAAACAAAGTAGTTCATAATAATAAATCTGAAAATGATACATGATTTCTATGTTTATTTTTTTCCCACATAATTAAAACAAAAATTATATAAGAAAGAGAAAGTTTGTAGTAGAAACCTAAACAGGCTTACTGTATGTATAGAGCTAGACACAAATGAACCAGTTATTCTTTCAGAGCTCAAGTTGATAAACAAAATCTTCAAAATCCTATTTTTTCATTGAAAGAAATATCACTTTCTGCCAATTGATCATGTTATATATACCAATCAACCATAACAATGCAAATGAAACCACTTTTAGTTTGTAATTATCAAATATTTAAAGTTCAGTTTAAGTGCATAACAAAATAAAGTATTTCTTCAACAGATTTACTGTTGGTATTGTAATTTAGTTACACTTTACAATTTACATTTTGAAAGCAAAATAATTGTCAGTTTTATTGCAGTAATCTGCATACTCAATCCATAATTTTGCTCCATATCTAAAAAAAATTAAATCAAATGATATCTGAAAGTATTGTATTTGTATCCATCTCCTCTTATTGCTAAATATTAAATCCTGTAGCAAAGGAAGTCGCCTAATAAGTACTTAAGGGGGTATAAGTGGATATGTACACTGTAGAAAACCTGAGACTCAAGACTCAACAGATGTAGAGAAGAGTTTGCGGTTATTTTCGGAGCCCCAGATGACACTGAGCCACCATGGGAGAGCCACACTTTGATACTGTTGGATTTGAAAGGGTTTCTTTTTGATGTCACAGATTTACCAGAACATACAGTAGTAATCACCACAGCAGTGCTTCTCTCCTGCTGAAAGTGTCACATTTCTTCCATTTCATCCTCATAAGTTTGGACAGAGATATCAGAATAGTATGAAAAAAAAGTAGAAGAGGTTTAACTAAAATTTGAGCACAGGACTGACTGTGTGTTCTTAAAAAAATTAAATCAGTTGGCAACATTTTCAAGGGCATTTGAAAAGAGCAAAAAAAGAAACTGCTGGCTGTGGAGTATTTGTCCTGGCTTTTATGGTTATGCCATTAACAAGCAAACAATAAGAAAATTGGCCTTTTAGCCAAATTACTTCTAATGTTATGGTGTCCAGATTGCTTATTGTTGAGAATGGAATGCTAATGCTTCTTTGCTACAAGCCAACTTGTTTTTTTTTTTTCAATAAAAGTCCAGAGTAATTTAGTGTCTTTTATGCCATTTCTTACAATTATGCATTTTGCAGCCCTAAACTCGAGGTGCACTTTTTATTCCTCACCTTTATTTAATAAATAAGTAAGATGAGATATTTTGGTTATTTAACAGTCACATTTTCTATTATCGTCTACTTTTAAACAACATGTTGAGCATTTCCTGACCCCCCCGAAACCTAAAAAATAACATAGATCGTAAATACCCTTTAAAAAAGTTCGATCAGTTGAGCTCCTTATTTGATAAAATTAAACATGACTTTAAAAAGTTGCATGGCTACTTTAATGTACACTTTAAAAAATATATGCTTAGTGGGGTAAAGTATTCTGTAAATTGTGTTTAATAAATGTGTGCTGCTGTCAGCTTTGCTTTAGGCATACTTTTAAGTGATCAAACCATCTACAATAATAAAAACACACTTAATCGTTTCGCAGAATATCTGGTTTTCATTATAATCTATTTGGACGTAGTTGGGAGTCAACTAGAGAAATTTTTATATATCAAACATGCATCATGCTAACATTTGAGCTCTTTTTACATATCCCAATAAACGTAGGCCAACGTATAAACCTGTATATTGTAGTTTCGCTTAGTCATTTGCAAAGTTTATACATTTGACTCAATATTCAGGTGATGTTTTATGAAAAAATATTGAAATGTTTTTTTTTTTTTTTTAATGTTCTTCTTGATCTCAGGGTTTCCAAGGGAAAACTGGCCCACCTGGACCAGGAGGTGTTGTCGGGCCTCAGGTACGAGACTTTTCAAACATAGATTTATTTCTCATTTTTACTGTTATTATAAAAAGATCACATTAGTGAAAGTCCTTTTATAAGACCAACAATTCCCACTTATAAATGTATTACTGGTTAACAACTTATTTTGAAGTGTTGATTCTAAAACCTTTTAAAATTTTCATTTAATAGTGCAGAGACAGCTATAATGTAATTGACATATTAAGAGATGATCATTTAGATATTAAAAAGCCAGAAATGAATTTAAATTTAAAATGCATAAACCATCTGAGCCCTGTTATGACAAGCCTTTAATTATTGCATTAGATAGAACCAATGAATGGGTCACATTGTTTGGTTGTTGTTGTTTTTGCATGTTGAACTAAAATTAATTATCTGAAAATGTAATCATCTAAGGGACCCACTGGTGAGACCGGTCCTGTTGGTGAGAGGGGACATCCCGGGCCCCCAGGCCCACCTGGAGAGCAAGGTCTTCCTGGAGCTGCTGGCAAGGAGGGAGCCAAGGTATGGTTGAAGTATAAAATGGTGAAAGGGGGCAGACAATAAAAATCCCCGTCTCTTTACATGTTAATACGAACCTTCACTTATGAAAAAAGCTAAAAGATTTTCCACCAGGAGGTGATGCCAGATGGGTGCTTTACAAGAAGATCAAACAAAAACATGTAGCCTAAAAATGTAACCACTCCTTGCCAGCTAGTCTATTACTGACTTTACATATTTTGAACACTTTCAAAGACTTGTGCTCATTATCGTCATAAAAAGGCAAGGAGCTCCTGGATGGTTTGGATTACAGTCTAAGGATGCAGCATCCTGCAGAGATTTAATTCAGCCTAAATCAGAGCTCATCAATAGCAAGATTCTCACCTGTCCTTTCTGTTCAAGTAGCTGAGATATTCTCCCTCCCTGTCCTTCCCTGCTTGGCAATTTACAGCCCATTAGGAGCAGAGAGCTCCCATTTTGTAAAGCAGAGCGATGGCCAGCTCTAGACAAGCCCCTGATTCCTAGGACCATTCAGCATCCCCCGCCCACCCCCGTCAGACCTTCTTTTTATTTTCTCCCTGTCTTCTCCAAGCGGACAGTTTAATCAAGTCAGTCGGCTAAGTCCAAACCCTCAGCTGCTCACCAGCTGCCTTTTCTCCCTCCGTTCTCAAACCTTTGCATCACTATGCCAGTGTAACTTTGAGGAGGCCTTGGCAGCAGAGAGCAAACCTTCTAATACCTCTCAAGTCCACCTGTCAACACACACAAAGACAGACCTGCATACAAACACAAAAAAAAGGCAATAATGGTTTTAGTGAAATAAGCCTTTATAATGTACGTTTTAAGGTAAAACAGGATATCCCCTATATCCCAACTCATTTATGAATCTATAAGTACTTTACTACATCCAAATAAGCAAACCAAAGTGAATAAAAATCAAATCCTAATCATATATGACCTTTTTTCATTGGAGTAGAATATAAAAAAGCTTGTTAGAATATAAATAAAATAAATGAGAATGTATGTACACTAGAAAAAGAAACAGGTTATATCACTATTTTGCTTTAATGACAGTTCATTTCATTCATTTCAGTTTCTCCTAAATATTCATTGACTAAATGTTCACATCATGGCTGGGAAAACATTATTGGCTTCGACAGGGGCTCTTCATTGACTGTGTCGTAGCAGAGTTGATGAATAGAAAATCATACATGCTTCAGGTAAATGCGACTAATGGACCATTAGGGTTTGTTTGGGGCTTTAAAAAAAGGTGCGCTTCTATTCCTGGAGGAAAGCACAAAGCCATTAGTTGATACAAAGTCTAATGCACTGCTCTGTGTTTATACATAGACTGCCGAAATATAGAATCTGTGTAGACTTGATGATTCAGGTGAGCTCTGCTTTAGGAAAGTAGAGTTAGAAATACATCAGATAAAAAAGGAAATATGGATAATATCAACAATAATTCAAAATGAAATAGAAAAATAAAGTAACATTAAACCAAAGCACGGTTGGATAAGATTCATTTGTCGGATGAAAATTACCAGGGAAAACAGACTCTTATTATTATTGGGAAGTGGCGGCCTAGTGGTTAGGGCAGAGAGCATGGAATCCTGAGGTTCTGAATTCGAGCCCCACTCCCACAGACTGCAACTCTGGGTCTCTGAGCAAGACCCTTAACCCCACACTGCTCTGCATAATGCACAATAGCACAGAGGTACATTTTTCCGATGTCAGATAAATAAAGTTCAATTAGTAACCCAGATACAGTAGTAGCCATTCAAAATTTCTCCAATTTCCTTGATGGGCCCTTGGCTGGTCCCCTACAATTCCCTTTTAAACATCAACATCTGTACTAAAATATGATCAGTGTCATGAGTTGTGGACATTAAGATCTGAAGAGAGGCACCATCTCCTGGCCAGACCCTGTAATTCAGTGAAAGGGTGTAGTCAGATAAAAATAATTAAAAATATGCAAGAGGGGTCACTCCAGTGGCTGGAAGTTAGAGGGGATTTCGCTGGGATTTGGAGGGAAGTGGGCTGGCATTCGGCTGGTGTTTGACTGGGAAGGGCTACTGTAGTACCATCCCTGCTATTAAACAACATATACACAGCAAAAATGCAGTGTTAATTTAACACCCATTGTGTTAACTTAAACACCAAGAAAGTGTATATATCTATATCTATATCTATATATATATATATATATATATATATATATATATATAGATATATATGGTTAATCGACTGACACCCAATTGCTGTTAAATTTACACCAGCCATTGTTAATTATCCAGTACTACTGGGTGTGGTTTTAACATTACAATAGGTTTGTGTTAAAATATACTGTTAAAATTCACACCAGTGTGGCGTCAATCCCAAAACCAAATATGTTTATTTATTTATTTTTTTTAGTTTTTTACGGCACTAGTGGCTTGTTTTTTTGTACACTGCGCTGACAGGACAGGGAATGCGAGTGAGGGAGAAAGACATGCGGCAAAGAACCACAGGTCAGATTTGAACCCGGGTGAAATAAGACTTCCTTACTCATATAGAATTTCAGATAATCAAATTTTTAAATTGAAGGATCCATTTGGGGTTTCACCTATCTCAATATCTTTACTGGACTTAATCAAAAGCAACTTTAAATGCTTTGAAACAACATAATAGCCTTTTAATTAGGAACCCAAGCATCTGATACCAACAGAATATTTGAGACTCAAGCAAGAAATTTTTGTCCAAACAAATTTGTTCTTAAGTTGTATCTTTCTATTGGAATTATTTGAATGGTAATTGGAAATTGACATTTCTCTCACTTAGGCAGAGGTGGACCTTATCAAGTTTATGACGATCATTTACGATCATTTGTTGAAGTTAAGAACATTTGTTGAATCCGATGTGGCGCATTAGTAAGACCCCATGACAGGCAAAAAAATAAGAGAAATTTACAACAAGAATACCAAAATGTTGTTGCTTGAGACCCATTATGCGTACTGTATGTGTGGGGATTTTTCTTAAGATTAGTGCACTTTAATAGACATGCAAAATAAAAAATAAACTCTTCTTGTACACAACTGACTGATGTTTTTTCGTGTAATCACGCCCTCACAAGACGTGGCACCCTGGGCGGAAACCTTTTATTACAACCATGCAAGCAAAACAGCTTTAAATTTATTAATTAATAATAATAATAATAATATTAATTCTATATCTTACATCACAAATCTAATCTGAAAAATGTACCTCTTGTTTTTGCACCTAATTACAATACATCATTTAAATCTGATCTGCATATTTAATTTCTATTCCAACATTTTATTTTTGCAAATCACAGCTGATTAGAATAAAACTGTTGACATTGTACATCTTTGTGAACAATAACAAAAAAAATGGTTTCTATTTAGGGTGATCCTGGACCACAAGGCTCCTCTGGTAAAGACGGTCCCCCAGGCCTTCGCGGCTTCCCTGGAGAAAGAGGTCTACCTGGAGCAACGGTAAAAGCAAAATTTCACCTGAAGCTATTCATCATAGTTTCACTCTACATGTATTTGCTGGTAGAAAGCGATGGACCACAGCTACATAACAAATGAACCCACACCTATCTGGAGCTGTTCACTTCATTAGAAGCAACAGCTCTGGAATTCACTTGTAGCAATCAATCCAGTGAGAGGAAATCCAAAGTGACATCTTACAAATGAACAGGCAAGCTTCTGCACGGCTCCACTGCCACAGAATCTGCGGCTCAAGCTGCTACAGTGGATAATGGGTCTTTTTCAGAAAATTTGGGGTTCGTTAGAGACTTATTTTAAAAAGTCTCCCCTGTTTAATTCAAGGACTTCTATTGTTTTCATTTGTCAGCGGCAGCATTTTGGAAGGAGTAGCATTTGTTTCTGCATTCATTATTTTGTAAATAAATTATTAAGTCAAAATGTTGGCAATTAGACTGGAGTGGCTGGGAATGGATATACTGTCAGGAAACAAAGTGTGTCCTCAAGGTCAGTAATACTCTGCAGGACAGCAGCACGCCTGATTGTTTTCTGCCATTGTAATTTAGCCCAGCACAGCGCCTCAGCTTGCAGACACTCATTACCCATACTGCCGTGTGCGGCTCTCTTGCTCAATGGAGAGCTGCACATAGAGACACACACGCATGAATGCATGTACTGTATGCAAGCACATGTTGGACACAGAAAAAAAAATATAAGAAAACCCACCCATGTAGTGTTTTCTCCACAACGAAGAGAAAGGAATATGGATTGGAATTTTTTACACTCATCTCACAAACAGTTTGATCGATCAACATTTGCATCCCTGCAGGGTTTTTTCCTTTCCCACTATAACCTCAGCATCCAGAGGCAGATATATAAAAACACGCCCTAAGAAAAAATAAGCTTTCTTAAATGAAACAAATATGGCAACATTTTCCATTGACTTCTAGCATCATTTTAATGCTCTACTGGCCTTTATTTAGATTTTTTTTAAAGTATGCAGACAGGAAAGTGGGTGAAAAGAGCAGGCGGAGACATTTCTTAAAAGTCAGCATAGCCAGAACTCAAACCTGCAACAGCCGTTATATGGATCATGCCCTCTACCTCTACACCACAGCAGCATCCTTTTATAACATTATTAACTTAAGAAAAAGTTGTTTTATTTTTATTTAAGTAAAACAGACATGTTTTGAAAATTACCAGTTTATTCTGTGTTTTTTTATGTTACGTTGTTTAATTAATTTGTCCAAGTATTTTAATTACTTTGATGAAGTCAGCACCCTGTCTGTTTGAATCGCTTGGGAAGGTGCTAACTTCACTGGAAAAAGGTTCTAGAAATAAGTAAAAATTTCTTAAATTAAGTCTATTTACCCTTAATTCCAGTAGGTAAATGAGGTAGTTTGCCAATAGAATGAGTATTTGTACTCTTAAAATAAGATAATTAGATAACAGGCACTTGAAATGAGACAATGCAATCGCGTTTTCTTATTTTAAATGTAAATTGTCTTGTTCTATTAGCGAAATATCTGGACTTATTTTAAGAAAAAATGAGTTATCTAGATTTAGATTTTTTCCAGTGGTGTGAAGCCTTTGGTGCTGAAGCTGCAAAGACAGGATGACTTGCTAAAGAATCCTCTGTCTCAGTTTTATGTCTAACACAGGGCTACACAGAGTGTGTACCAGCAAGGACTGTTTCAACCAATAGGAAAATTCAACCGCATGAGCCACTGTTCAAATACTTAGGATAGCACTAGAATGAAGAATGAAAAAAAGAGAAAAAATAGCAGAAAAATGTATAAAGAAATTTAGCAAAATTAAAATGGAATTATACAGATGGATTTTATACTATTTAAATAAGAAAATAATAGCTAATTTCATCACCTAATTTGCATAAATGGTAATGCTCTGATCCATCTTTTACAGAGAGGGATATTAAAGGGATAATGTGTTAGAATTACTTCCATCTAGTGGCAAAATGGGGTTTTCTATTCTACTGAAAACTATACCCTAGTGCGTCATTGCCTCCAAGACGTATTCCAGCAACAGTGTCATGATGGGTTCACAGAAGAAGACCCAGATATGCAGAACACCACTGACGGACACAAGGATAAAAGTTGAACAGTTTATTTAAGCACAGAACACACAGAATGTACTGATTCTGGTTCGGGCCTGGATACTGGTTCACCGGAGTCTGCGTGAGAGACAACACAGTTAGTGACTGCTGACAGGGTTTGATTCCCACAGTTTCACTGATTGTACCTTGAGGGTTCTTGAGGTTAACTTTGGGAGAGTCACTGTTGGTTCTGGAGAAGAGTTTGTCAGCAGAGTCCGTTTGCTGCTTCAGCGTCTCACGTTTTAGCTTGAACAGACCTTGGCTTAGATTTCCCAGCTCTAGTCCAGAGCTGCTCGGGTGTTCTCTGTGAATCTTCAGGGTTTGGCTCAGAGGGTCGGCTCGGCAGGTTAGCTCTTCCAGAGTTCTCACAGAGGAGGCACGGGTTTCCTGGAAAAACAGAGACAGTAGTTAGAATCCAGACTGGATTCAAAGTCATGGAGATACACTGAGGATCTAGGCTTTAGCGCTGACCGACTGGAACAACACTGCGGCGTTGAGGCAAGGTCTGAAGACAGCTTATGTAGTGGATCCTCTGATGATCTTGACGAGCTGCAGCTGTGCAGGAGGCTCCCTCAGAGGATCCACGGCGGACTCTGCTGGAGAAAGATGGGATTTCTCCAGCTCCCAACAAACAGTAGCTGCTGTGTGTTACAAAGCCTCGACAATGCAGATGTAACAGTACCATGCAGTAAATAAAATAATAAATAGAATAGAATAAAATATTAAAGAACCGGAACGAATGCAACAACACAGACAACACAGCAGTGAAAGTAATGTTTACATGTTGCAGTATCTGCGGTTGGTCCTTCCCAAAAAGTTCAAAAACTATCCACTCGACTTTGTTTCCAAGTTTGAAGGCGTTTCGCTTCCCATTCTGGAAGCTTTTCCGAAGTGCTTTTTTCAAATGACTATGACCTGGATGACTAAGAATCTTCACCAGCATATCTACGGTTGGCACAATGAAGGCAGACTGAGAGCCGATGTTATATCTGCACAAACTTTTCTGTGACAAAAAGCTAACATTTACCACCACTTTGAAAGGTGCTAAACCCAAGTAAAGCTACAGTTCTGAACCAACAAGATTATGTTTGCAGGATCTACTGTCATGCTTCCTGTGACAACGTGCAACACTGTGTAATTAAAACAAATGGATAAGTTAGCTTTACGCTAATTTAGGCAGCACAGTTCACTTACCTGTTAACATGGTAACTTCAGCATCCCTTTTAAAATCTTAGCTCCTTCCACCTGGAGAAGGCCTTCCCTTATGATTATCCTAGTTTTTAAATGTATCTGGTTTTCTGTCTAAGTTGTCTTTTCGCTTTCATGGTGATGCTGTTGAATATGCATGGTCCTGCATCGCGCAAACGGGTGACCAGCCTTATGGATAAACTTATGAAAATTTACCTGATTATTAGTGGAGGTACTGATGCTCCAATAATAACACATATTTAAATGCAGTCATCCATTTCAGGCAGTAAAAAAGAGAGATTGTTACACAATGTCACTTTAACAATAGCAAGATAGAAAGGGATTAAAAATGCTCTAAACCCGAATAAAACCAAAAATTAAGTCTATAAAATAAATTCAAGTTTTAAACCTGAAGCACCGCTACATAAATCAGTCTTGGTATGTTATCAAATTCAACTTATATACAGTTAGGCACACACAGTAGATGAGGTATGTGTGGATTAAATTTAGAGAGGGATCTAATATAGTGCAACATTTTCAAAGGAAAAAACATCATGTTATGTTATATCCCACTTTTTAATCAAGGGGGAAGAGTGGAAACTTTGTGAATGTGTGACTAATTTTCCCTTCTAAATAGAAAAAGAAAAAACAGATAGCCAGGTATGTTGCTTTTTCGAAAAAAGAGTTGCTAGAGGTATCTGAAAAGTCACAGAATATTATGTCTGCACATGCTTTAAATTTCTTAAAGCAACAAAAATATCAGATATATATTTTATCCATACCACTCAGATGTCATGTATTTAAAATATCCCCTAATTTAACGTGATAAAACTAATAGCTTTTAAACAAAGCCATGAAATAGAATCAATCCTATAGAAATAGAAGCAATTCTCCTGGTTGTATCATATTCTCCTCGGTCTTGTTAGGTGTGGTCTGACTTCTAAATATATTTACATTTTTCTCTTTTTAAAGTGTGAGGTGCATACCATTGAACAATCAGTTTAACAAAATCATTGCTGAGTGAACTTTTTAAGTAGATTTCTGAAATTTCATTCAAACTTTCTTCTTAAGAAAACATGTTTTGTTGAAAAGTCTCTTTATTCAAAGCTATTGAATTCAAACCTGTTGAATGATATTTAGGGTGACAATTTTAACCTGCCTACTACTTATTTTGGACTCTTTGTTTGTGCCAGTGGTCTGCTAGAGGGGACATGTCAATAGTAATTCATGGATTTGTATGTGTGGGCTAAAAGCACTTCTTGCAGTAAACAGAGGCTGACAGTTGTAGCTCGACAGGCATTTAATGAAGCTTGTGCTGTGATGTGTGTGCAGATTGTAAACAGCGGCTGGTACAAATACATTTGTGTCTCTCTCCATTTCAGGGCCCGGCTGGTCTGAAGGGAGGAGAGGGGCCCCAGGGTCCACCTGGTCCTGTTGTAAGTACATTCATTTCCTGAAAATATTGTGTTTTAATCTTTGTTGATACCTGTAAACAGTTGCTTTTTACACAAGTACAAATTGCTTCAAAGTTAAAGGTTGAGATTAAAAACTTTCTTTCGGATTAGTTTCCTGATATGGTCTCAAAGATCAAAGTGTGTTTTAATCAATCAGCTTTAAGTTCTTAAGTTTTCAACCAAATCTTTTAAGATTTTAAAATAAGAATAATTGAACTGTATAGAGCATTTCTAGTCTTACTTAGGCCAAAAAAAATTATGCAACAATTTTTTGCATTTACATAATCATATTTAGTTACTTGAACATAATTGTTTTATGTCCAACCATGCTAACGTGAAACAATTATTTTAAAGTAACTAAATATGATTAGGTAGATGCCAAAATCTGCTGCATTATTTTTTTCAGTGATACGTACAGTACTTGCCATTAAAGATGTTGCTCAATGCATTGTCAACAAGTGGGTATGAGAGCCTGAACTCAAATTCACATTCTTCTAAATGTAAATTAACCGCTCTTACCACTGAGCCAGAGGCACCCAGTGAGCCGACATCCCACAGAGTGCAATAAACTATCACTCCCAAATGGAAGGAGTATGACAAGAGTGTAACAGTAGGAGAGCAATAGCCGAGGAAGCAGCCAGAAGTCCATGCTAACTCTGGTTAAACTACAAAGATCTACAGATCAGTGTTCTGAATATCTATTGACATGCAAAATAGGTAAGCTATGGTTAAATAAAGTCCATAAAGCTTGCTAAAAGTCATATGCTTTAGACCAGTGATTCCCAACCGTGGTACTCGTATCCCTAGTGGTCTGTGAGTGCATTGCAAGGGGGTACATGAAAATATTTTATTTGTTAGGTAGTAAAATAAAATGGGGTTGGGATCTGCTCAACTTTCTGAGGAACCAGCTATAAAAATACAATCCTTTTTCAAACAGAAAATATGTTTTTCTTATATTTTTGAGTTCACCTTTAGCTTTAACACACAAAACCAAGCAGAGGAACAGACTGAATTTAGAGAACAGCCTAGAATCAGCTTTTTTCCCCATATCTGAGCTTATCATAGGAGGCTCAGGTGCCATGAATTTTGAAAACCATGTAAAACAACTGGAGTGAGTGTGACTACAATTTTTGTTCAGCATTTTTTTCCCCTATTCCTCAAGGTTAAATGTGATTATATGGGAGTTACTCAGATAAACTCCAGCTTTATAAAGGAAGATTTATAGCGTGCCTTAATTTTGCATTGAATTTGATTCCCTACTAACATCTTGGTAACATATTTATATTGTTTTTAATTTGAGTTGGACATATAGCATGCCAAAGAATTAAATGGTCAAGTTAAAATAATTGATTTTTGTACATTACACTACATTCCATACTTTTGACTGGGGGCGGGGTTAATTATGGTAAGAAAAAATGCCCAAAGAAACCACCGCTCTACACAACAACCATTTTGAAGAATGTGCAGAGCAACATTTAAGATTTTAGCATGGTTGGACAAAGGACATTTTGCACACCACATTGAACAACCTATACCCACTGTGCAGTATGGTGGCAGCATTGTGCTGTGGAGATGTCTATTCTCACGATAGACAGGAAATCTGTTTATTGGGAAACGAATGAAGCTCAATACAGAGCAATCCTGGAGGATAGCCTGTTAGATGCTGTTCCAGCAACAAATCAATTTGAAGTTTGTGGTTGTAACTTATAAAAAGGTGAAAAGGTACAAGGGCTGTAAATACTCTGGCAAGGTACTTTGTGTAATTCTCATATAAATCACTGGTGCAGCGGTTGAGAACAGCATAAACATTTTTGAAATGCACTCAGTGATTTTTTTATGATTAACTTAAGAGGTTATTAAATGTACTGCAGTATTATTCTATGTATTCAGCAGCTCTTGCTCAAGCCATATATGCCATACATTCAAACTCATTAGCTCATATCCTCTTTAAAAGATCTAATATTTGTCTTGCAAAACCGTAGCATATTTCAGCAGGACTGTTTTCTCTCCCGACACACAAAATAACAATGCAAGCAAACAAATTTAGTCTCAGTGAAAGCAAGCAGCCATGAAGCATCCATATGCTGAGACAAAATATGGAATTAGCAAGGGAGTTCCTCAAGCACATTCATCCTGGGAAAGTATACATCCTCTTTTCTTTTTCAAATTTTCAAATGTAAATTTTTCCTTTTTTTTGTCAGGTTAGGTTGTTTTCTTTAATTCCTGGAAAATTACCCTTTTTTTGCTACGATAAATACGATATTTAATAAATGGATGGATGGATAACACTTAATATCTATGATTTTACTTTCTATGTTTTAATGAACACTCTATAAAACCATACAGCAAGCAAAATTTTAATTTTGTGAAGTATAAAATACTAATTTTAATTATGGCCAGAGGTATTTTGCATATATAGACCCATCCTGTGAAAAATACAAAAGGTTGGTAGAACCAAGAGAAGCGTGTTAGCCATTATGTTTATGGATGAATGTGAACACTGACTTCCTGTATCTTCAGTAAATACAGCCGTCTGTTTGAGTTAAAAACAGCTTTCTCAGCTGCAGACACGCGCCCCTTAGAGCTACCAAGGCGTCCGCCCCCGGACAGCAAATAATGCCAACTGCATTATAAAAGAGCAGCAGCGTTTCATTAGAACTTAAAAGGCGCCTGTTATTGTGTGTTGCCTCTGCTGTTTTCTCACTTTCCTTTAAAGGGTTTGTTTATGTGTGCATTGATCCATTAGTGGAAGAACTCAGCGGGGTCTGCCAGGATCTTAATGGCAAAAGCTGTTGTTCAGTAAAACCAAGGCTTTATTTAATACAGTATTTTTGTTGTTGTCATGTCTTTCGTGATTGAAGGGTTCTCCTGGTGAAAGAGGTCAGGCTGGTCCAGCTGGCCCAATTGGGTTGTCTGGTAGACCTGGTCCTCAGGGTCCTCCAGGTCCTGCTGGGGAGAAAGGAGCTCCTGTGAGTATTTTCTTATTGAATTGATTGTAAACCAATGACCTTTAGCATCCGATTTTTTTAATACAAACATATTTTTTCTTCCAGGGCGAGAAAGGACCTCAAGGTCCAGCTGGCCGTGATGGTGTCCAAGGTCCTGTTGGTCTCCCTGGGCCCGCTGGACCCCAGGGCCCACCCGGAGAGGATGGTGACAAGGTTAGTATGCCACACCCACCTCTCTGACCTCATCGTCTTAGATGTTTCACATGCAGCCCCTTTCAATTAAAAGACATATCATTCAGTCTTTATAACCAAGTCAAAATCACAATGAATAGATATAAAACGGAAACACTGAGTTCCTCTTCTTGTGTTCTCTCAAGCTCCAAATCAGCTGTGGCTTTACAGGTTTCATGTGCTCAAACTGAGGCATGAAAAATGAACTTCTCCTTGACTTTAACGACTATATCCAAACGTATCGGCTTTTTACGTCTGCGCTTTAGGGTTGTTTCTGATTTTGTTGACATTGAAAAAGGCGAAAAGTGGATGTGACATGGTGTTTCTGTGTGTGTTTCTCTTTTCTAGGGAGAGGCTGGAGAACCAGGACAAAAAGGAAGCAAGGGTGATAAGGGAGAGCAGGTGGGTTATGATAAGCACATGAATCCATATCTCTTTATACGATGCTGGCGGTGTGTTTCTATTGGATTACTCCTCCTGGAACAGAATAAATCAAATTACTGTAAGAATTATGCTTTGACAGTTCAAATTTCAATCAAATCTATCTTTGTTATTATGTTGTGTAGTAAAAAGACATCTCTCATTGCAAAAAAATCATTCATCATAAAAAAAAAAAACACAAATAAGATTGAGATGAAATCATCCATGAGATTTCTCAACTTTTCTCACTTTCCTCTCATAGATACTATTTGGTTTTTCTTGCTATAATAAATTGTGTTTTTTACTCCCTTAATTTTTACGTTATTTTTCAGGGTCCTCCTGGACCAGCTGGAATCCAAGGTCCTATTGGGGCTCCTGGTCCTGCTGTAAGTACATATAGAATTATCATATCACACATAAAAAAAATGGAAAATGAAATTTGCTTTTGACATCAGTTTAACTGATCCATGATATTTGCTGCTTNAGCTCTTCCAGAGTTCTCACAGAGGAGGCACGGGTTTCCTGGAAAACAGAGACAGTAGTTAGAATCCAGACTGGATTCAAAGTCATGGAGATACACTGAGGATCTAGGCTTTAGCGCTGACCGACTGGAACAACACTGCGGCGTTGAGGCAAGGTCTGAAGACAGCATATGTAGTGGATCCTCTGATGATCTTGACGAGCTGCAGCTGTGCAGGAGGCTCCCTCAGAGGATCCACGGCGGACTCTGCTGGAGAAAGATGGGATTTCTCCAGCTCCCAACAAACAGTAGCTGCTGTGTGTTACAAAGCCTCGACAATGCAGATGTAACAGTACCATGCAGTAAATAAAATAATAAATAGAATAGAATAAAATATTAAAGAACCGGAACGAATGCAACAACACAGACACAGCAGTGAAAGTAATGTTTACATGTTGCAGTATCTGCGGTTGGTCCTTCCCAAAAAGTTCAAAAACTATCCACTCGACTTTGTTTCCAAGTTTGAAGGCGTTTCGCTTTCCATTCTGGAAGCTTTTCCGAAGTGCTTTTTTCAAATGACTATGACCTGGATGACTAAGAATCTTCACCAGCATATCTACGGTTGGCACAATGAAGGCAGACTGAGAGCCGATGTTATATCTGCACAAACTTTTCTGTGACAAAAAGCTAACATTTACCACCACTTTGAAAGGTGCTAAACCCAAGTAAACCTACAGTTCTGAACCAACAAGATTATGTTTGCAGGATCTACTGTCATGCTTCCTGTGACAACGTGCAACACTGTGTAATTAAAACAAATGGATAAGTTAGCTTTACGCTAATTTAGGCAGCACAGTTCACTTACCTGTTAACATGGTAACTTCAGCATCCCTTTTAAAATCTTAGCTCCTTCCACCTGGAAAAGGCCTTCCCTTATGATTATCCTAGTTTTTAAATGTATCTGGTTTTCTGTCTAAGTTGTCTTTTCGCTTTCATGGTGATGCTGTTGAATATGCATGGTCCTGCATCGCGCAAACGGGTGACCAGCCTTATGGATAAACTTATGAAAATTTACCTGATTATTAGTGGAGGTACTGATGCTCCAATAATAACACATATTTAAATGCAGTCATCCATTTCAGGCAGTAAAAAAGAGAGATTGTTACACAATGTCACTTTAACAATAGCAAGATAGAAAGGGATTAAAAATGCTCTAAACCCGAATAAAACCAAAAATTAAGTCTATAAAATAAATTCAAGTTTTAAACCTGAAGCACCGCTACATAAATCAGTCTTGGTATGTTATCAAATTCAACTTATATACAGTTAGGCACACACAGTAGATGAGGTATGTGTGGATTAAATTTAGAGAGGGATCTAATATAGTGCAACATTTTCAAAGGAAAAAACATCATGTTATGTTATATCCCACTTTTTAATCAAGGGGGAAGAGTGGAAACTTTGTGAATGTGTGACTAATTTTCCCTTCTAAATAGAAAAAGAAAAAACAGATAGCCAGGTATGTTGCTTTTTCGAAAAAAGAGTTGCTAGAGGTATCTGAAAAGTCACAGAATATTATGTCTGCACATGCTTTAAATTTCTTAAAGCAACAAAAATATCAGATATATATTTTATCCATACCACTCAGATGTCATGTATTTAAAATGTCCCCTAATTTAACGTGATAAAACTAATAGCTTTTAAACAAAGCCATGAAATAGAATCAATCCTATAGAAATAGAAGCAATTCTCCTGGTTGTATCATATTCTCCTCGGTCTTGTTAGGTGTGGTCTGACTTCTAAATATATTTACATTTTTCTCTTTTTAAAGTGTGAGGTGCATACCATTGAACAATCAGTTTAACAAAATCATTGCTGAGTGAACTTTTTAAGTAGATTTCTGAAATTTCATTCAAACTTTCTTCTTAAGAAAACATGTTTTGTTGAAAAGTCTCTTTATTCAAAGCTATTGAATTCAAACCTGTTGAATGATATTTAGGGTGACAATTTTAACCTGCCTACTACTTATTTTGGACTCTTTGTTTGTGCCAGTGGTCTGCTAGAGGGGACATGTCAATAGTAATTCATGGATTTGTATGTGTGGGCTAAAAGCACTTCTTGCAGTAAACAGAGGCTGACAGTTGTAGCTCGACAGGCATTTAATGAAGCTTGTGCTGTGATGTGTGTGCAGATTGTAAACAGTGGCTGGTACAAATACATTTGTGTCTCTCTCCATTTCAGGGCCCGGCTGGTCTGAAGGGAGGAGAGGGGCCCCAGGGTCCACCTGGTCCTGTTGTAAGTACACTCATTTCCTGACAATATTGTGTTTTAATCTTTGTTGATACCTGTAAACAGTTGCTTTTTACACAAGTACAAATTGCTTCAAAGTTAAAGGTTGAGATTAAAAACTTTCTTTCGGATTAGTTTCCTGATATGGTCTCAAAGATCAAAGTGTGTTTTAATCAATCAGCTTTAAGTTCTTAAGTTTTCAACCAAATCTTTTAAGATTTTAAAATAAGAATAATTGAACTGTATAGAGCATTTCTAGTCTTACTTAGGCCAAAAAAAATTATGCAACAATTTTTTGCATTTACATAATCATATTTAGTTACTTGAACATAATTGTTTTATGTCCAACCATGCTAACATGAGAAAATAATGTTAAAGTAACTAAATATGATTAGGTAGATGCCAAAATCTGCTGCATTATTTTTTTCAGTGATACGTACAGTACTTGCCATTAAAGATGTTGCTCAATGCATTGTCAACAAGTGGGTATGAGAGCCTGAACTCAAATTCACATTCTTCTAAATGTAAATTAACCGCTCTTACCACTGAGCCAGAGGCACCCAGTGAGCCGACATCCCACAGAGTGCAATAAACTATCACTCCCAAATGGAAGGAGTATGACAAGAGTGTAACAGTAGGAGAGCAATAGCCGAGGAAGCAGCCAGAAGTCCATGCTAACTCTGGTTAAACTACAAAGATCTACAGATCAGTGTTCTGAATATCTATTGACATGCAAAATAGGTAAGCTATGGTTAAATAAAGTCCATAAAGCTTGCTAAAAGTCATATGCTTTAGACCAGTGATTCCCAACCGTGGTACTCGTATCCCTAGTGGTCCTTGAGTGCATTGCAAGGGGGTACATGAAAATATTTTATTTGTTAGGTAGTAAAATAAAATGGGGATCTTCTCAACTTTCTGAGGAACCAGCTATAAAAATACAATCCTTTTTCAAACAGAAAATATGTTTTTCTTATATTTTTGAGTTCACCTTTAGCTTTAACACACAAAACCAAGCAGAGGAACAGACTGAATTTAGAGAACAGCCTAGAATCAGCTTTTTTTCCCCATATCTGAGCTCATCAAAGGAGGCTCAGGTGCCATGAATTGAAAACCATGTAAAACAACTGGAGTGAGTGTGACTATAATTTTTGTTCAGCATTTTTTTCCCCAATTCCTCAAGGTTAAATGTGATTATATGGGAGTTACTCAGATAAACTCCAGTTTTATAAAGGAAGATTTATAGCGTGCCTTAATTTTGCATTGATTTTGATTCCCTACTAACATCTTGGTAACATATTTATATTGTTTTTAATTTGAGTTGGACATATAGCATGCCAAAGAATTAAATGATCAAGTTAAAATAATTGATTTTTGTACATTACACTACATTCCATACTTTTGACTGGGGGCGGGGTTAATTATGGTAAGAAAAAATGCCCAAAGAAACCACTGCTCTACACAACAACCATTTTGAAGAATGTGCAGAGCAACATTTAAGATTTTAGCATGGTTGGACAAAGGACATTTTGCACACCACATTGAACAACCTATACCCACTGTGCAGTATGGTGGCAGCATTGTGCTGTGGAGATGTCTATTCTCACGATAGACAGGAAATCTGTTTATTGGGAAACGAATGAAGCTCAATACAGAGCAATCCTGGAGGATAGCCTGTTAGATGCTGTTCCAGCAACAAATCAATTTGAAGTTTGTGGTTGTAACTTATAAAAAGGTGAAAAGGTACAAGGGCTGTAAATACTCTGGCAAGGTACTTTGTGTAATTCTCATATAAATCACTGGTGCAGCGGTTGAGAACAGCATAAACATTTTTGAAATGCACTCAGTGATTTTTTTATGATTAACTTAAGAGGTTATTAAATGTACTGCAGTATTATTCTATGTATTCAGCAGCTCTTGCTCGAGCCATATATGCCATACATCCAAACTCATTAGCTTATATCCTCTTTAAAAGATCTAATATTTGTCTTGCAAAACCGTAGCATATTTCAGCAGGACTGTTTTCTCTCCCGACACACAAAATAACAATGCAAGCAAACAAATTTAGTCTCAGTGAAAGCAAGCAGCCATGAAGCATCCATATGCTGAGACAAAATATGGAATTAGCAAGGGAGTTCCTCAAGCACATTCATCCTGGGAAAGTATACATCCTCTTTTCTTTTTCAAATTTTCAAATGTAAATTTTTCCTTTTTTTTGTCAGGTTAGGTTGTTTTCTTTAATTCCTGGAAAATTACCCTTTTTTTGCTACGATAAATACGATATTTAATAAATGGATGGATGGATAACACTTAATATCTATGATTTTACTTTCTATGTTTTAATGAACACTCTATAAAACCATACAGCAAGCAAAATTTTAATTTTGTGAAGTATAAAATACTAATTTTAATTATGGCCAGAGGTATTTTGCATATATAGACCCATCCTGTGAAAAATACAAAAGGTTGGTAGAACCAAGAGAAGCGTGTTAGCCATTATGTTTATGGATGAATGTGAACACTGACTTCCTGTATCTTCAGTAAATACAGCCGTCTGTTTGAGTTAAAAACAGCTTTCTCAGCTGCAGACACGCGCCCCTTAGAGCTACCAAGGCGTCCGCCCCCGGACAGCAAATAATGCCAACTGCATTATAAAAGAGCAGCAGCGTTTCATTAGAACTTAAAAGGCGCCTGTTATTGTGTGTTGCCTCTGCTGTTTTCTCACTTTCCTTTAAAGGGTTTGTTTATGTGTGCATTGATCCATTAGTGGAAGAACTCAGCGGGGTCTGCCAGGATCTTAATGGCAAAAGCTGTTGTTCAGTAAAACCAAGGCTTTATTTAATACAGTATTTTTTTTGTTGTCATGTCTTTCGTGATTGAAGGGTTCTCCTGGTGAAAGAGGTCAGGCTGGTCCAGCTGGCCCAATTGGGTTGTCTGGTAGACCTGGTCCTCAGGGTCCTCCAGGTCCTGCTGGGGAGAAAGGAGCTCCTGTGAGTATTTTCTTATTGAATTGATTGTAAACCAATGACCTTTAGCATCCGATTTTTTTAATACAAACATATTTTTTCTTCCAGGGCGAGAAAGGACCTCAAGGTCCAGCTGGCCGTGATGGTGTCCAAGGTCCTGTTGGTCTCCCTGGGCCCGCTGGACCCCAGGGCCCACCCGGAGAGGATGGTGACAAGGTTAGTATGCAACATCCACCTCTCTGACCTCATCGTCTTAGATGTTTCACATGCAGCCCCTTTCAATTAAAAGACATATCATTCAGTCTTTATAACCAAGTCAAAATCACAATGAATAGATATAAAACGGAAACACTGAGTTCCTCTTCTTGTGTTCTCTCAAGCTCCAAATCAGCTGTGGCTTTACAGGTTTCATGTGCTCAAACTGAGGCATGAAAAATGAACTTCTCCTTGACTTTAACGACTATATCCAAACGTATCGGCTTTTTACGTCTGCGCTTTAGGGTTGTTTCTGATTTTGTTGACATTGAAAAAGGAGAAAAGTGGATGTGACATGGTGTTTCTGTGTGTGTTTCTCTTTTCTAGGGAGAGGCTGGAGAACCAGGACAAAAAGGAAGCAAGGGTGATAAGGGAGAGCAGGTGGGTTATGATAAGCACATGAATCCATATCTCTTTATACGATGCTGGCGGTGTGTTTCTATTGGATTACTCCTCCTGGAACAGAATAAATCAAATTACTGTAAGAATTATGCTTTGACAGTTCAAATTTCAATCAAATCTATCTTTGTTATTATGTTGTGTAGTAAAAAGACATCTCTCATTGCAAAAAAATCATTCATCATAAAAAAAAAAAACACAAATAAGATTGAGATGAAATCATCCATGAGATTTCTCAACTTTTCTCACTTTCCTCTCATAGATACTATTTGGTTTTTCTTGCTATAATAAATTGTGTTTTTTACTCCCTTAATTTTTACGTTATTTTTCAGGGTCCTCCTGGACCAGCTGGAATCCAAGGTCCTATTGGGGCTCCTGGTCCTGCTGTAAGTACATATAGAATTATCATATCACACATAAAAAAAATGGAAAATGAAATTTGCTTTTGACATCAGTTTAACTGATCCATGATATTTGCTGCTTTCTGGAGGTGATTTTCCTATTTCTGTTTTAATTTGCATGATAACGAATGAGACAATGGTAAAAAATAAAAAAGGTAAAAAAAATGCTACGCAAGTTTCAATTGAAACAAAAAAAGAAATATTTATTTGCAAATTCAATCGAAACATTTACAACAGATATTAAATGAAGGGAACATACCTATGTGCATCATGTTAATTCAAGGAATGGATGCTGGATGCATTAATGTACCGGAAAACAAAAATATGCATGTATTGTCCAATGTTTCGATCTCTTTCTAATAAAGACTGACTGAGCAAAAGGTTGATAAAGAAATAACTATGGTACATATCTTCAGATGGTTACAGCTTCAATCTAGGTGTTGTTTCTCAGGGATCTGATGGAGAGCCTGGTCCCAGAGGTCAACAGGGGATGTTTGGACAGAAGGGAGATGAGGGTTCAAGAGGTTTCCCTGGACCCCCTGGTCCCATTGGTCTGCAGGTTGGTGCCATACTTAGCCGTAATAACATACAGCATCAGCATTATTGATGAATCATCTTTGCATTGAGATGACTCACTGTTCAGGTTGAAACACTCACTGTTCAGGCTATAGTTGTACAGTACAGGTTCAGAGCAGAAGTTGACTTTCTTTGTATTTACATAACACACAAACCCTTTTGGACGAGTCCGAATACAGCATTCAATCCCTCATTCAGTCCTCATTATTGTATTTATCTTATTTTATTTATTTGAGATGGGATAGTGCCTATTAAATGAATTCCAAAGTTCACATGTAAATATGCCATAGCGACCAATTTCTATAAATTTAAATCACACTAGGGTAACAAGCTAGCAAAAGTTTTAAATATATCCTGTCTAGAGGAAAAAAAATGTTGTATCCCTTTCATCCCATCAAAGTTAATTTTTGAAGTTCTGTGCCATTATGCTGTCAGGCAGTCCTTTGCTTCAGTCAAATGGAGCCTTTTTTTGAACAATTATATTCACCATTATATTTTGTCAACTTTAGACTCTAATAAGAGACTGTCTCTGTCCTGCAGCAGCGTTTGGTCTGAGTCACAATCTGGTGATAATGCTTCCACACATCTCTGCCCCTCCTGAAAAATAAGAGATTCAGAGGTGGCATTTGGATCCTTTCATAGGTCATAGTCGTAACTTCAAGACATTTTCTGTTCACCTATTTAAAACTCAACAGATGTGAGTCAATGTGAAGGGATCTGAACCAACAAAACAAATTTATATTTAAGAATCAGCTTGAATATGTTGCCGTTTTTATATGTTTTTAATCTCATAACTGGCTCCACCTCTTTAAGCTGCTTTAGCCACACATACTAACTTACCGATTCACCTGGGATTATGCTCACTTATGAGTTGGGGATCATCCTGTAACCAATGTCTTGCAGGCTTGCAGTTGACTCGCCTTACCTACTGTTGGTGGGATTGATAGAAGTTCATCTTGTCAGCGTGCCCTAGGCCAGCTGTGGATACAATGTAGCTTACCACCATCAGCGTGTAAATGTCAGCAAATAAATGGAAATGGATTGTACTGTGAAGCACTTTGCACTCCTCTGGAATAATAAAGCACTATATAAGTTAAAACTAGGGAACTAAGAGGAGTCAAATTTCTGCTTCTTGTTAAGCGGATCGGTAGCTGTGTGCAGCAATAGGTAGGGTAGGGGCAGTGATATAATGTATTTGCCCACAGATAAGATGAGGTTTTTTTGTTGTTGTTAAAAACGATTTAAAAACGTGGCATCGTCTTATAATCAGGGGCTAACCAATTATAGAGGCTGACAGTTGTCTAGGGTCGCTACAGAAATGCAACAGCAGAGGGCGCCAATTATTTTGTAAAGCCGTCATCTTTCTACCACAACAGAGACAAAGTGACAAGAATGCAACAAATGGAGAGTCTCTGCCCAGAGCAGAGTGGATCAAAAGTCAGACAAGTTTGCAGACATTTGAGGCAGAGTTATGATGCATATTTAAATATTTTTATTTTAAAATAATGGTGTTCAACGTAGTGGAGGCATGAAAAAAACTTTTAGGCAGCAAAGAAGTATGGAGTTACAAAGTGCGATGTCAGAAGATGGCACATTCGAAAAAAACAGAAAAATGCAAACAGCAAAAGAAAATCTTATCAAAACACTGCAGCACTGCAGGGTGAGGGTAGGAGTGACATAGAGTGCAGCAAGGCGGGACCTCTGTGAGTAAAAGCCCCATGCAGATTCAAGTTCAGATCGCATTCGAGTTGTTGCAAGATTTCAATTTAATTTATCAGTAGCCTACTGTGTTTTTTGTTTTTCACTTTTTTATTGTTTAATTGCACAAATCTTTAAATGCCATAATATTTCAATGAAGTTTTTAGCACTTTAATATGAAATAGTTTTTTATATCAAATAAATTTGGTTTATCAGTCTGTTTCTTTTTGGTTTTTTGTTTTGTTCCTAAAAGTTGGTCCTGGAAAGAGGGGTTTGTCTTATAATAAAGGTCGTCCTATATTCTTGTCAGTATGGTACTACTATATGCATCAAACGTTTTGGTTAGTTTTTCACTACATCAGGAATCTATTCAAAAGGTCTTAACAACATGATGTAAATGATAAGATTTATCATGCAATGCAGTCCAATATGCAGCAACAAGAAAAAACAAGAACTGCAATTCTGAAACCATGACAGCCATAGCTGGCTAAATAAATGAGGAGAATCAGAATCAATTCATTACCTGCGCGGACTCCTTGTAGCGACATTGACTTTCATCCTCCACCATGCCCTGGCACAGTTTAATTGGATCTGTGGGGCATGATGTGGTGACCTGAGATGATTACAACCTCTCACCTCATTTCAGAGACCACCTCCAAAACCCACATTAGCAGCTGCATCACATGTGCAATGCTCTGTGAAACCAATGCAACGTTTCAATGCCATTCAAAAATACATCCTATTCTTCTGCCACATGGTTCTCATGAAGCCTCTATGAGTCTTAATTATGTTTTTTTTGGTCCTCAATAGACAGCACAAGGCAGGCAGCCTTTCCCATGGTTGCATTCAATTTATGTGTAATTATCTATTTATTAGTAATCAACTTCTAAAACCTAACACTTTAGAAGTTTACAGCAGAGATCAGGGTCATTGTCTTCATGAAATTACACACACTGCTGCTCATCATTCCTTGGTGCTATTCTTTCTCAGCAGGATCGTATTCGATGGACTTTTAATTGGAAGTAATTCACTTCCCATCACAATCCCATTAATTGCATGAACTGACCTACTCTAACAGTCTGTTCCTCATCAAGCTCATTTACCGGGCTGCATAATTAGCACCACTGCAACCGATTTTAGCATTAGGGGAGACCTTTACACAAATGATGCTTCTCAGCATGGGGTGGGGCAGACAAGCAGCAATCAGCCAGGGACAATGCTTTTCAAAAAAAAGTATGAAGAATGGAGATACAGACAATTAGATGGAGAGCCATATTTATACCCAAACACAAAACTTGTACTGATTGGCAGTCGGTAAGTTCCTTGAGCAGAAACTTCTTTTATGCCTCCTCTTATTTAATTTTTTTTTTTACAACCTTACACCTTTTATTGATGACAAAGCGGCCCCAGATCAAGAGGAAACACACAAAAAGCAAACCGCAGCAGTTTAATCACACCAATTACCGACAGAAATGTCAGGGATCAAACACACGTAAGGTCTCCAACATGCTGCTCATTTGCTGTGCATGAGCGAGCCAGATTAATTTCTGCACCTTGGAGTCAACATATACAGGTTATTGACAGGAAAAATTAAAACCAACACAAGCTGTTTGTTTCCTTGGGTGCAGAAATGGCAGCTGAACCGTAGAAGTCCTGTACTCGTTTATAGGATATCTGAGGCACCTCTTATTCTAAAACACGGTTTAATTTAGTAAACTTATTCTTAACCTTGCACTGTTGATTACTTTTTTTTTTTTTTATAATTCAATAAACATGTAATTGGGTGCAGCAGTGGGTAAAACATGAATTCTTATTCATTCTCGCTGATTAATTTATGCCTAGTCTGACACAGAGAATCAGGACAATGTATTCCTGCGGTCAAATTAAATCTCAGTAGCTGTATAGTTAATGATGCAAACAAATGAAAAGCTTCTTCATGCAACAGCTCATCAGTGTTGTTCATCAGATGCTATCAGTCATGGACTGTTCTAAATTTATGGCAAATTTTCAATGTTTTCTTCAAAAACTATGATATATATACTGTAAAGATTAATATGTATTCTGCTGACATTGATTATTTACAGTACTTAAAGTGCAGAAGACATGTCTGCAACATGTGTGCCAGAGGAACTATTTAATATAAAGAGAAAGTGGATAGAAAGTCAATAGATTGTAAATTTTTTTTGCATCTTAAGTAGACATTAGCCTAGCGAGCATGTCTAACTTGACTCAAATTTAATGTAAATCCTTTCTTGAACCCTAAAATTTTTAGCTAGTTGTGTACATTTTCAAATCCCGCCTGTTTAATGACAGAAGGTTAAAAGCTTTAAAGAATAAAGTAAAACAATGTTTAGCCTTCCTGTTTGGTGCTGAAACTCTTGCTCTCTCTCAATATGTCAAGATGTTGCAGAAAACACATTCTCCTTTTTAAACAAGTTGCTTTATATTACTTTAAAACTTAAAAATGTTTTTCATTTGTCTTAATCCTTAATCACTATAATGGAGTCAACTTGACCTGATAGTGTTTATAAAATGGTATATGCACTGGTAGGAAGAAGTTTTGATTTTCAGTTTCAAAAACAACCAATCAGTAACAATTCAGCTTAAAATTGTCCAGTTATAATTATCATGTTAATTCTTTTTTTTTCAAATCGTGATTATATTTTTAGTTTTCTATCATTTTTGTTATGTAAAAACATGTTTGATCATTGTTTTTCGTCTCTAGGGACTTCCTGGTCCTCCGGGCGAAAAGGGAGAAAATGGCGATGTTGGGCCCATGGTGAGAAAAATACCTGCTTTTTATCCATTAAACTTTATATCCATCACAGCAACATAACGCTTTACTGTTTTTTGCAGGGTCCTCCTGGTCCTCCTGGTCCCAGAGGTCCTCAAGGCCCCAGTGGAGCTGATGTACGTATTTCTTATGAAGATAAATCATATTGTGAGACTTGCCTTTTTAAATGATCTACTGCACTCAATTTTATAACAAAATACATGATTTAGGATTTCCCCAGCTTTTCTCAAATATTTCATTTAATCACCTAAAAATTTTAGCTGTTTTCCTTTTAAAATATTTTAAAGAATTCTGGTGGTGTCTTTCATCTGTTCCATCTCTTGTAGTTTGGTTGGAAGAACTTGAATGTTTGAACATGTATGTAAAAGAACTACAAGGATCATGGTGTAGTGCAATAAAAAAATAAGAATATTCATCAACATTTACATCAAACCTACATAATAAGTATGCACAAGAAACCGATGTTTTCTTAACTCAAGAAAATGAAATAAGTTCTAGTTCCCCATTCCACTTCAATCTCTTTCATTACGGCAGTGTGGGTTTCTAATGAGGTTGTTTTAAAGTAAAGTTTTTTAATTAGATAGCTAAAACCAATGAATCTGGTGATAAACTATGTTAAAGATATTAAAGTCAATCACAATTGTTTAAAAGCAATGAGCACATACGCCAAAAAAAAGCTGTGGGTGGAAAAAGTTATGTTTAACCTAAGTTAATAAGGAGTGAATTATTAGATTAGTTTCCATTGTTGATTTTTGTCTGAAATGATAAAGTGATTATTGAAATAATCATCAAGTAATTAAATCATTTATTGAAGTTTTCAGAATCTAAAACATGACATTTGCTGAAACAATAGCATACTTAGTAGCAACTATGTATGCTATTCTTTCACCAAACTAAGTATAATATAAATTTCATCTAGAGTATTAGGTCTGTCTGTCTGTCTGTCTGTCTGTCTGTCTGTCTGTCTGTCTGTCTGTCTGTCTGTCTATCTATCTATCTATCTATCTATCTATCTATCTATCTATCTATCTATCTATCTAGAGTATCCCCATTTTGTAAAAAAAAAAACTCCTTCAAAGCATCATTTGTTGTTTGATTATTCATATATATATATATATATATATATATATATATATATATATATATATAAATATTAATCTAAATTACCATTTTATATTTTTACTGTTTACAATTCATTGTAAATGTGCTATTATTATTCTTTCTTGTTTCAACTTGCTTTTTTATAGAGAAAAAGTAAAAACATTCCTTTAATAGCTTAGATTGTTCTGTTAATTAAAAAAATTATTGATAGATACATATATCACAAAAAAAAAATCAATGGCTGCTGCACAATTAAATCCAATAAGCCTAAAAATAGTTTTAAATTGTTTTTACTGAATCTTGCATTAACTCTAGTCATAAGCTGTTCGATGGATAAGGGATATAGTGTATATAAATATATTGATAAGGATACGGGACAGGGAATAATGACTTATCTTTTTCTCTTTTCGTTCCTGTAGGGTCCACAAGGTCCTCCAGGTGGTGTGGGCCCCGTAGGATCAGTAGGAGAGAAGGTAAGACCCCCAGCAGGCTCTATAGGGTGTTTTACCAGAACAATGTCATGATTGTAAAATGGAGATGACATCTAAATATCATCTGAAAAAAGAAAAGTATTTTTATTAGTGTTTTAGAGAAAATTCCTTTATGTGTCATGCAGTTCAGCAAAACTGACATAACTCTTAAAAACATGGATATACTGAACAATATTAAATGCTCTAATGCTTATATATGTCATTCAAATCAGTAACAGAAAGAAACTGCAAACAATTTCCCTCCGAAGTTTGGAAATCTCTCCATGCGTCAGCTTGAAGGTTTACCAGTTCAGACACTGACATTTATAAATCCACAGGGTGAACAAGGTGAGGCTGGAAACCCAGGACCACCCGGAGAGCCTGGAACTGGGGTAAGAAAACATTGAAAGCATTGCTTTACATTTTCCTGCAGATTTTTGATTCAAAGTTGTCATCGCTCTGACTAGTCTAACATATACATAGCTCTGTTGTCGTTTTATTTCCCGCAGAATGAACGTGCTGGGTATCTCAGATAGTATATTCTGCATAGCTTGAGGGCAGATATGAAACAGCATCCGATCTAATGAGAGGACTGCTGCTGTGCGTCCATCACAATAGAAGTAATTGCTATTCACATTTAGACTGTTGGCTCTTCTCAGCGTGGCTTCACTGCTTTGCACGGCAGGAGGACATGTCCTGCCAAATTGAGTCTCCTTTCAGACTCTTAAGGCGGAATTACAAGGACGAGTTGTGTGATGGTTCTGATTTGAAGGTGTTTGCTCAGAAAAAATTAATTAAAACTCCCATTTCTGAGTACACATTACTGTTCTACTGAATTCAGCTAATGTTGATTTAAAAGGATTTGTTTATTTTGGTTTGCGTTTGTTGTTTATATGCAGAAGCTTCCGAAAAACATTAATCGTTAAATTAACTGTACTCCCTTATGACTAAAAAGGTTGAATGGGACTTGTAGAAAGTCAAAGCTTTAGAAAGTTGAAAGTTCAAACATTACTGTTCTGTTCTTTAGAACAGAGAAATACCAAAAAAAAATGAAATAATGAAGGTAACCAGAATAAGAGCAGTAACGATGTCAATATATGAATGCTACTTAGCTGATATGCAGAGTAAAATCAACAAAAAGGCTGCAAAATACCCCTTTAAACTGAGTGTATTGTTTTATTTACTGGCCTTAAAAGCTAGAGGGTTAGTTAAATTAGAAAATGTCTTTAGTTCTGGTAGAGCGCTGCTCTATAGCGGAGAATAGCTGACTGACACAAAGCTGATGCAGCAATTAATGATTCTTGGAGCGATCTCCATTAGATGTGCCATCAGATCACAAGTGAGTGAATGTGAGTGTTTTTATGGCTTTAATGAAAGGGAAAAAAGGTGCAAAACTCTGTTGGTGCCACAAAGACTTCCAGCTCATAAAAAGAAAGCAGAAGATCAGGTTATGTGTTTAAATCATGTTTCTTTATATTTCCATTAGGTAGATTTATAAAAAAAAAGAAAAAAAAGTGAGTTCATAACTATCCAGAGGCTCAGCTCCATCATTTCAAAGAGCACATAAAGACGTCTGGACCTTTCATCTTATTTCACATCAGCAGTGTTGACCATCCAGGGTTGGTGCCCTTTGTTAAGCAATCCAAGATCTTCTTTAGATCCAATATGTGCCAGTAGTCTCTGGCTGCACAACTGCTTTCCCTCAACTCAGTTTGATGTAGACAGAAAAGAAAAAAAAACCCTCAGCTTCTTTTGATGTTGATATAAGAAACGCTCCTCCATTCCACCATCACTGTAGGGACCTAAAGGTGAGAGAGGAGAAAAGGGAGAAGCAGGACCCCCTGGAGCTGCTGGACCTGCTGGCGCCAAAGGACCCCCTGGAGATGATGGTCCGAAGGGCAACCCTGTAAGTCTGACTAATATGCTGTGAAAACCTGTAAAACTCTATCTACTTATGGCTAGTCACAACCTGCTTTAAAAAAGAAAAAAACTCTTGCAGAGCCCAAAGTTGGGTCATTTTACCCGATCCTATATTCAAGAGCTAAAAAGCCTTTTTATTGAGGAAGATTAGATTTTATGCCTGCACAGTAATGGGATGCAATGAGGTCTGCTCTCTTGGATTTGCAACATCATCATTAAGTTCATTAAATTACCTTCACAGGTTGTATGTAACCAAGGACTAAATCACTGTCCAAATTACCTCCCACATTCCAAATTCCATTTCTAAGCTTATTATTTCTCTGCCGCTTTTTCTAAGATGTTCTTCTCACATTTTTATTTTGTGTCTAATTTATCTCTATTACAGGGACCTGTTGGCTTCCCTGGAGACCCAGGCCCCCCTGGAGAGCCAGGTGTTGCTGTAAGTAAGAATGAATATCCCCGGCTTTGTTTTAGCAGATAAAATTATTCTTTTTTTTGTGACTCATGCTAAGATTGTATACTAATTGGAACAAATGAAGGCTTTTTTATCCTTTCCATTTAGCTTTATTTAATCTGCACATACATGTTTTACAGGGTACTGATGGAGAACCAGGAGAGAAAGGAGAGGATGGTGAGCCTGGTCAACCAGTAAGTTGTCGATGATTTATTTAATTTAGAATGCATGTATTTTAATGATCTATATTTTACTTACAACCATAATAAGCATATACTAGAGTAAAATCATCTTTTCATTTGTTTCTTCTTTGTGGCTTATTCTGTAATATAGAGCCAGTTATAGTTTTACTTCCAATAAATATTTCAAAACACACTGATTGTGCAAAAGTTTAACCTAAGATGTGTAGTCAATATTCTTTAAAATAGAGTAAAAAAAATGTACTTTGAAGATTATTCATTAATAATCTTAAAATAAAAATTAAGATTAATGCAGCTACTCTGTGATAAAACAACAAATCAAAGCCCCTTGTACACAAGCTTGGAATGAAACCGATAGAATTAAAAGGAAAAAAAGAATTTCTATTGTTTTCACATATTTGTTTGTGTTTCTGAAGCTTGATTCTAGCTTAGATGTAAGGGCTATTTGAAATTATCCTCAAATACAATTAAGTTTTCTTCTTTGTAATTACAACTAATAAAAAAAGACAGGAAGAGAAATGACAGGTTTAAACAATATGGCGGGTGATTTCAGTTAGTATTTTTAAATAGAACTCATCAAGTTTAAAAACTTAAGGCTGTTTCATCCCTGATTTTAAAAAGTAAAAAAAAATAATAATAAAAAAAATGACCTGATTTGTATTTAAGGTATGAAATTCTGTTTAAATTTAAAATGGTGGTATGTAAACATTTCAAATGGCGACCAAAGGATTGTTGGCCTAAACTGCTTCCTAATCAGGAAGGTTAGCATGAACATTTGACTTTAACGTTAACATAGCGACTAAACAAGCTAAACCTGAATATAAACTCAAAGTAAATTCCGAAAGGGGGTATTTAATGCTTTACTGACGACTGCAGTTAAGATACGCTGTTATATTTTGTGTTTAGTGCTTAACTATATTTCGGTCAGGAAGCTCAACTTGCTTGAAAGTGAGACTTTAGCATTACCGTATTATTTAAACGTCCTAAAGCGGGGTACAAACATGAAATCTTGCTCCAACAAAAAAAAAACCTAATTACCTCTTATAACCATTCTTACAGGACTGCTGCTAAAGCATTACATATATTTATTGATGAATATTATTTTAGAATATGTCAATAATGAAATGTCGGCGATAGTGTCCTTTTATGGATGCACAGTTAATGAGATACATGAAAATTAACTGAAGCAAAATCTTCAAGTAAATTCTAAATTGTTAGAGTGAAATTTGTTATCTAAACAGACTGTTGTCAAACATTTCAATTAGAACAATGTAGTTGGTTGAAATAATAGTGATTCTGTTTAATTTCTCCAAATATTCCCTATATTTTGCTATGTAAAAAAATAAACAGTGTAGTCAATTTGTGACCTAGATAAATCTAAAACAGATGCTACAATCGGTTGCACTTCACTAGAAACGATAGCTGGAGGAAGAAGTATAGCCATTTATCAATGTATGAGTTACTCTTATTGACTGTGTCGAGGTTACTGAGCCGTTACTGTCCAGCAAGCTGTGTGATTTAATGACCCATTCCCTCCTCTCATCATTCTTGGTTCTGTTTCCAGGGACCCCCTGGTCCATCAGGAGAGGCTGGCCCACCTGGTCCACCTGGCAAGAGAGTAAGTCTTTGGCTGTTAGACCTAATTTCCCTCCAGTAGTTATTTGGGTGCACTGATTGTTTTCTTCTCACAGTCCAATTTCAGGTAGATAATGCTCCTGTTGTTTAATTGTTTTTTATTTAAAAAAATTCTACTGCCCTTGTCATTTTTTATATAAAAAGAGGATTTTTATTACATGCCTGTGGGCATTTTTATGCTGCCAGTGGTCAAATATTGCTTCACCTGGCAGCAACTCCTCCTCAACAACCCAATTTTGGCTCTAAAGCTGGAGAGATTCATTCTCATTAAAGGCAGAGAGGCAAAAACAAAGTGGGTGATTTACAGGGTCAAGGTGTTACGCTATCTGTGAAGTAAAGCCTTTTTAAAGCCTACGAAGAAATGAATGTCAGGATGTGAAAATCATGAATCATTTTTCCCCCTTGGAAAGAAATTGAAAGGCTTACTAAAAGAAAAAAAAGACAAAAAGCTGAAAAAAAAAAATAGAGCTCTGGGTTCCAGTTTATGTTCTTGTGTCCGTGAAAAAAAAAACAACAAAAGATGTGCAGCAAGTCTGACACATTATCGATCCACGGCTGCCTGACAGACAGCAGCTGCAAAACAGAAGCATAAGATGCATCTTGTAAAGTGCTTTAAAAGATTTGTAAGAAAAGAAAAAAAAAAAAAAGGTGGTAGATTCAACCGCTATTAAAACAAATAACGAAAGCTGTAATCATTGAATGTCTTCATCGTGATGCGGTTATCTTGTCATTTGACGTCTTGTTTCACTTGACACAGACACTGTCCCTTTTACTGCCTTTAATCATTTTTGACAAGCAGATCTTAAAATGTCAATAGAAACTCAGACAGATATGACTCGGCCCAATTAATACCCAAAAAAGCACAATGAAAACCAACGATTGAGGTTTTCTGACTGTTTTCTGACTGCCTACAGAAAACAGCATTAGATAAACGCCTTATAGCAGCATTTTTATATTTCATATTTAATTCTTTGTATATTTGTTTATAGTTATGTTCATTTTCACATCTGTAGATGAGACATTTGTAACAAAGCATGAAAGAAAAAGTGAAGACAAGTCAACCAAGAGTTGCAGGAAAGTTATTAAATTAGAAAGCATAAATCTGGACTCAAGCCTCAACGCACAACATAATAACCACCCACACATAAAGCTTTAATAGTGAAATCAATAGTATAAGTTTAGAAACTGAGAATTTTCAATTTAATTTGTTATGTGGGAAGGATAAAGTCAGGAGAAATACTGTCTTATAGCAATAGCAGGGAGACCTAACGGACCAGCACCCAACTGAGGAAATTAAAAGCTCTTTGTTAAAATATAATTCTGGCTTTTATTGTTAGGATAAAAATAAAGTTTTTTTACAAAGGCTAAATATTTTATTATTCACATAGATATTACAGTGTGTTCTGAATTTGAAGGGTACTGGGGTGCAACCAGAGATGGGAAGTAACGAAGTACAAATACTTTACTGTACTCAAGTAGATTTTTCTGATATTTTTACTTTACTTTACTACTTATTTTTATGGCGACTTTTTACTTCTACTCCTTACATTTTTACACAAATATCTGTACTTTCTACTCCTTACATTTTAAAAAATTGGCTTGTTACTTTAGTTTTGAATCATTTCAATGGAGTTACCGTTATTATTTTTCACGTCATCAATACCAAATTCAATCTAATTGGATGGGAATCTACGTTGCATTTGACGCACCACTACAAGATGAATCTACAGATTCGGCGGTATTCATTGGCGGCAAATCATTGCAGCTTGGTGGCGGTGGCGTTAGCATAGTAGTATGGACGACGAGATGATTGAAAATGAACACAACGGAGATCTAGTCCTATTGGCAGACATCCATTTAAAATGCAGGCAACGGCATGAAAAAAGTGGTTTCTACTTTTACTTTTATATTTTAAGTAAATTTACAAGCCTGTACTTTGTTACTTTTATTTGAGTAAAGAAGTTTAATCAGTACTTCCACTTTTACCAGAGTAATTTTAACACAAGTATCTGTACTTTTACTCAAGTACAGAAAGTGAGTACTTTTGCCATCTCTGGGTGCAACCATATACATCTGCAGATAGTTTAGTCACTAGACAACTTCAAATCCCACAAAGGGATAGCCTTAAACAAAGCAATGAACATAAGTTGCTGAAATTCTCACCATTTGACACAATCAGTCAGTTTTGTCCCCAAGATATTTTCAATTGCAGTGCAATTAAAATAACTGTTGAAAAAAAAATTTAACATGAAGACCCATTGTCAAACAAAATTGATCATTTCAATTATATTGATAAATATTAAAATTGTATTAATTCTTCCAAAAAAAAAAAACAAGCATCTATTAAAATTCAAAAATTTCTTTGAAACTGTAAACTTATCCCTGGTTTTCAGACATTGGGTCCATTTACATAAAAAAATGTAATGAACAAAACATTAATCTGAACAGTGTGTTGATTTATTTTAGACATCAATCCTTTTCTATTTCCCTCCATTTAGCATTTTTTGTTTGCTTTAAAAAAAAAGCTGGGGGAAAATCTGCTTTTTAGGGGAATCTGATGTGTTTATAACCCAGATGCAGAATAAAAGGTGTTTAAGCATATTGTATTAAGATCTGATATCTTTTAAATCACATCTCAGTTTATCTCACAGACCTTTACTATGTCTGTCGATCTTCATAAGGAAAGCGAATACAGAGATGCTACACCACCCAGGCAGCCTCAACAAATAAAAAACAAAATACTAAATCTGTTTTTTAGTGGTTTACTTTTCCCACGACAATAACAAAGCTGTGCTGCATTTTCAAACCACAGTCGATTGTTTTCGCAATGCTTCGGTTTATCATCATGGTATAGACATGTGCAGCACTGGAATGGCTGGAGGATTAAGGAAAGGAAAGGGCTATTTTGTAGTCAGTGAGAGGTGTTAGAAGGCTTAGGAAGGAAAGAGGGTCTAAAATGATCAGTACTCACCTCCAGGTCTGTCCTCTGAATGTGTAATTTCTTAGCAAGAGATCTTTTTAACCTTTTGAATCTTTTACTACATTCTTTATTTTGCTCATTTTAACAGTTTTTTAAGCATTTTTGTTGATTCTTGGTAAAGAAAATACAATAGCTGTCCACATTTTTCAATTTATTGCGTTGCTTTATTTATTAGAAATGTATTTCTGTTTTAGTGTTGATTAAAAGCTGAAGAGCTTTCTTGATTTAATCAGACATTAACTATTTTTACCGGGCTGTGAGACAGCACTGAACTTTTATCAGAAAAAGTGTTATCCAGTGAAAACCTAGATAATCAGCCTTTGAAGCACAAAGCAATGTAGAATTAACAAAAAGAGTGCTTGGAGAACCTTGACATGAGGAGTGCAGCCATACACCAACACCCTCTGCAGTCTAATATATCACTACTGAAATGGTTCTTTGTGCTGATGAAGAGCCGGCCTCTTCACCACCAGTAAGAGGTACAAATCAGGAGAAGATGAAAGCTCCAAGACCAGAGGAGAGATCGCATTATAAGCTCTCAGTCAACAACACTAAGGCCAGCGTGGGGCTGATCAGAGCAGAATCACGATGGAGGGCGGTTTGAAGATGGAGACTAGAGGTGGAGTTGAAAGGGATCCTTGTGGGTTGGAGAGAATCTGACCGGAGAGAAGATATGACCGAGCAAACGTTGGCGTGATTGAAGAAGGCTGTGTGTTCCATTTGAATCTCTCAGCATGATTGTTTGTTTCTGTGGGCAGACAAAGGAGACTCACTCAAACAGATCTTGACGTAGCAGAAGCGGCGCACGTTTGATGTCATTGGATTAGTTTCTGTGTTTGAAGAATGTTTCTGCTTTGCATTTATCAAACAGGACAAATAGTCACTAAGGAATCTAATGGAAAATAAAGTATAATACCAATAGTCTTAGGAGCTTAGAAGGCACAAAAAAAAAACTCTTGAATTAAAGATCCTTATTTTTGTGGGATGGAGGGGTGCGACATTAGCATTGAATAATTGATTTTTGTTTAGTTTGCTTAACAGGCAAATCTAGTATTCAAGTAAATGTTTAATGGTATTAATGTTTTAATATCTTATTTAATCTGAAAGAGAAGCTGAGGTAAAAAAGACTAAATATTAGGGAGATGGTCAGGAGGCCTTCAAGCTTATCAATAAATGGTCTACTACCATTGGAAAGGGAGAAAGCTGGTCATTTTCAACCTTTCACAATGTTTATTATTTTAAAAACATAACTGGCTTTTTCTATTAGACATAAAACTCTTCTTTTTTGATAAACAAAAATGATGTTTTATTTCTATCCTTTAGGGGCATCGATAATTACAAGCATATTTTTAGGTTTCTTTGTTTATAACAGGTTTCATGACTCAGAACAAAGGACCCAGTATTCAGGCAAGGCAGACAGTGTGATTATTCAAAAAGCATTTATTGAAACAATGGGCTGCTGATCTGCAGTAGCAGCGGCTAGGGCGCCTAAGGCAGGAAACTCTGCAGAGAGGAAAACACGGGTTACTGAACATGTAAATCTAACGGAGGAAGATTATGGATGTGAGTCGCTAACCTGGTTTACAAGTTTAGTCCATGCCCACAGAAGGAGGTATGATCCAGCCGGTGGGTTGCCAGCAAGATGTGGTTGGCGCCACCCAGAGTTTCCCGGATGCTGCAGCCCTGAGAATATGCAGGAGTCTGAAGCCAGGCCAGGCAAACAGATCAGAACAAGAGCAGGCAGGCTCAGAGGTCCAGGAGTCCGAAACCAGGCCAGGCAAACAGATCAGAACAGGAGCAGGCAGGATCAGAGGTCCAGGAGTCTGAAGCCAGGTCAGGCAAACAGATCAGAACAGGAGCAGGCAGGCTCAGAGGTCCAGGAGTCCGAAGATATATCAGCCAAACCGTTCAGACGGGAACAGGCAGGCTCAGTGGTTAAGAGGCAGAACAGGATCAGGTAATCAGAAAAACTCAGGTGGGCTAAAAACACTCTCACCACTGAGATCAGACTGGAAAAGTCAGGCTCAGTGGTTGAGAGACCAAACAGCTCAGAATCGAGAAATCAGAAACACCAAGGAACTCTAAAAACACTCTCACCACTGGCTAGAGAGAATAAGAATAATCTGGCCCTGATGACTGGATGCAAGCACCTTAAATAGAGACAGGAGCAGGTGGATCAGATGAGCAGTGATGAAAAACCGGGAAGAGTTAGACAGGTGAATGGATTTAGTAATTAAGCCAGTCAACAGCACCAAGATCATGATCCTTGAAGCCAAAGTATGCATTCGATTGAGACAATTTACCAACATTTCCATGATGCATTCATCAATTTATTGATAAATTGTTTTGTCCTAACAGAAAAATAGCCAGTTGCTTTAAATTAAAAAAAGTTATTTGTTCAGCCAAAGTGTAAGTTCTTTATTATGGATTAGGATTATTCTATTATTACAAACTGTATTGGAAATTGTTCTGCCAACAAAAGACATTCAGGTCTAATATTTGACCAAACTTGGACCAAATAATGGATAATTAAGCCTCCTTTCCTGCATTGTATCAGTTGGATCCAGGTTAAAGGTGCTTCAAACCATGATCTCACAGACCAATCTGTTGTTTTAAAGAAGATCTAATTTCTGATAGTTTTATTGTACCAAAACTACAGAATCTAGCACCAAATAAAAAGCTGTTTTTGCGTGATTTCAAACCCAGGTGTGTAATCACAAATCAAGACTTTGGAGCTACAATAGTAGCTTCAGACTTGCTCATAGTATAACCTACTGTACTGTGTTGTAATGCACCGACACAGATTTTAGGAACACCTTTCTTCACCTTCTTGTATATTGCTGTTTAGTGTGTGGTGCTGTAATACTGAAACTCTATCCTTTCATTCCTTAGGGACCTCCTGGAGCTCTTGGAGCAGAGGGCAGGCAAGGAGAAAAGGGCGCTAAGGTAACAATTATTCCCTGCTTTGCTCAAGAAAGTCAACTCAGATGACTTCTTTTTAAAAGATAAATTAGTTTCCATTTCAGACAACATATACAAATCTGGATACAACTTTAAACTCTATTGTTCTGCTTCCTGAACAAGGATATGATGATACGATAGTCAGTTGTCATCCTCCGTAATTTGCTTATTTCCATGAGGGTAGAAATCCATACATATGTTGTTCTCAGAATCAATTATCATCAGTTGACTCAAGCAGCACGATCCGTCCTTTTATTGCTCCTGCCATAGAATGCAATTACTTCAGGCAAAATATAGTTAAAATGTGAACAGTTTTGTGATCCTTCAGTAAACTTATCGGTTATTTCAATATTTGCATCATGTAAAAGCCTCTCAGCATGAAAAGCATTCTGCTTCTTGAAACAATCTTACCCATCTGAAACAGAAAGCAGTGCAGCTGTTTCCAAGTGAAGCAGGAAATCCTGTGAAACTGTGTTTAGAGCTTTGCAGTAAGCCTGTAATCTCCACTTTCTTCTCAGCTCAGACTTGATTTACTGTAACTTTTCTCCGTGTACCCCATGAACTGCCTTTTTTATTCTGACGCGGTCGGTATTCAGCACTAGAACATCTATTCTTGTGTCTGTTCTAAGGTTTATTCAAAGGACCAGAGGGGAGTATTATTTCAGAGCCTCGCTTACTTGTTGACATTTGAATGATATGCAAACTGCATGATTATTTTCGACTCTATAGGCCTGAGTTCTTATGAAAAACACTCTGACACTCTTAGAGGCTTCAAAGACGGCTTGACAACAAGACATCAAAGTTAATGCGTAGTACATTTTAGAGGTCATCAGACAACATGATTTTGTAAAGAGTACTCCAACAAGTTCTATCGTTTTTCTACATTTATATTTAAATAAAAAAATTTAAAAACACCGGATGTTTACTTACTTTATTTGGCACGAATTTTGGAAATAAAAACAATGTAGTTCCTTCATAGGTTAAAAAACATTGAAAATTATTACTTGTTTTCTGTCTAATTTTGATTTTTTTTTTCTATATCCACACAAAGGGTGAAGCAGGTGCTGAGGGTCCTGCTGGTAAAACGGGACCTGTTGGCCCCCAAGGACCTCCTGGGAAGCCAGGTCCAGAGGGTCTGCGCGGAATCCCTGGCCCTGTTGTAAGTCATTACAACCACAGTGATTTTTGTAGGATTACATGATTCCCAAGGCTACTTCTGCCTCTTGAATTTAATTTACATGGCATCCTATTACAAATGTATAATATGAGATAGTACAAATGTATTCCCCCACTTCTCCATCTGGTGAAAGATTTGGAGCAAAAGTTCCTTTTGTATGAATGCTGCTACAAAGCGCTGTAGCGGTGTTCTCAAAGAGACATGAGCCAACACCTACAGTGTACACACGTATAGAAGCACTACTAAGGCATGATGATAGACTTCATGGAATAATCAATACTCCCATTTGGCTTATACTTTAGTTTTACTTGTTTATTCCAGCACACTTTCCCTCCCTGTTTGGGCTATTAATCATCGAGTTGCACACAGGAAATCAATGTTAGAGCGGTGAAAATACAGCAGCCCATAATGCTCTCTACAATTGAATGGTTTTTCACAGGGTGAACAAGGGCTGCCCGGTGCCCCAGGACAGGATGGTCCACCAGGTCCGATGGTAAGTATCCAGAGTCTGTCCTGCCCTCTCTCTCTGTCTGAATTCATTTATGTAACCAGATTTCTTTCTCTTCAGCAAACTTCCTACCCACAGCCCACTGAACCAAAATGCATGCACAGTTTTGCCCTTGTTGACCTCATATTTTATGGATTTTTCTTGTCTTGTTTGATTACATTTGTTTCATTACACTCTCTCTTTCCGTCTCCACCCTTTCTTCTAAGAGAGTTTTCTAATTGCTATGATTGATTTTTCTGAGGGATATAAATGTTTCAATGCGTCTGTCATGCAGGGACCTCCAGGTCTTCCAGGCTTGAAAGGTGATCCTGGCTCGAAAGGTGAAAAGGTGAGTCCCTCCTTCCCTGTTTTCTTTTATCAAACTGCAACCTCCTTTCATTTTTAATTTAAAAGAAAGCCTAACATTATTTACAGAAACATCTAAGTAGCAGAGCGGGTCAGAGCATAGCCAGAATTACATCATGCAAACAGTATTGGTGCTTTTACCTTGTTTACCTTGGTATATTTACCATGTTTTCTTAAAATGATCTTTAGAAAAGAAAGTCATTTTTTTGTCTTTGCTCCTGGAAGAGAAAATGTTTTCAAAGCTTGCATGAAGCAGCTGAATATGATGTATCACTCCAATCTGTCCAATCTTTCTATTTTGCTTGCTCCTACTGTCACATTTGCTGGTGAAGAATAACTGCTAAGGATATTCAGACAGGGCACATTACTCTATCTAAATTGCCTCCCACATCCTGACTTGATGGCTTGAGAGAAACTATTTGAAAGCACACAACAGGATCTGTGTGCATGTGTGTGGTCTACATTTTTAATGCTGTTGTATCTCAGGACCCAGCTCTAGCTTGCTTATTTCAAAAGTCGTTGCTTGTCTTTTGTGTATCGACCTCTTGCATTTGCAGAGAGATTCTTTCACATTTGCTGCAGAGGCAGCCTCCTGGTTAACCCTCTGAAAGTGGGTTAACTTTTAACAAGTTAAAGTAATCCTGAATGAAATATCTAGATTTTTGAGTTTTCAGACATATATGTTTGATTTGACAGCCTTTGGTGTGTTTGTTTTAACCTTGAAGGGTCACCCAGGTTTGATTGGTCTGATTGGACCCCCTGGAGAGCAAGGAGAGAAAGGAGATCGAGGTCTTCCCGGGCCCCAGGGTACTCCCGGAGGCAAGGGTGATGCTGTAAGTACTAGTTGGTCTTCAACTCCTACAGTGCCTATCCTGTTTGCCCTTCAACTGTAGTCAAATGTCTGGTGACAATCGCTGTAGTTTTAACTCCTAGCTAAGCCCTGCAACATGCATTCTCTCACGGAAAAAGAAGCAAAACTTTCAATTGGCTTAACATTTTGTTAGGTAGAGTATAAGATATAGTCACTCCAATGCTTTATACGGTCTCTGTTACCATTTTTGAATTATCTTCGGAACGGATATTACCTTTAAAGATCAAAATCATTTAGAGCTATGAAGCTATTAGAAAAGAAATCTTGAGAATTTCATTACATGAATTTCTCTATTTTCTGCCCTTATTGAAAACTATGCGTTTTGCATTGTATTTAAAACACAAGCATTACAATAACTCAAGCAAAATATGTAATTAATATCCCTCAATTAATATCTGACATTTGCAAGAAAGTGCACAAATTTTTTAATCTAGTACATTTCATGACAGATTTTTTTTTTTCTTTCTGTAATTTGTTTAGCCTTTGTCATAGCCTGGGAAGAAGATCTTGTTCTCCCTCGCTTTCCCACAGCCAGGATGTTCTATAAAGGCTTTTGGACATATTGGAGAAAACTTAATTTTTATGTTGAATTCCTCTATGTTTAGCACCTGAAAGTAACACTTCTGAAAAAATAAATAACCCTTGGTCAGTCATATCTGCAGCAAAGAGTTTTTATGTCGGCACAACATGGTACAACATATGGAGTTTCCACTATTTTTTTCCTTCTGGTAACCAAATCAGGGTCAATTAAGCTAGTCCCAGTCTTAATGAATTTCCTTTAGACAACAACAAGCTCATTTGCAGCACATGTTCAGTTTGTGACTATTTTTCTGTTAATTTAATGATTTTTTTAAATAGTCTCACAGTGTGAAACTAGCATTAGGTTGTTAAAAAGACATAGCAATAAAGCTGACATAGTTAATTCTGCCCTATCCCCTCCAAGTAGGAGTAATGTTGAAAGCAGGTAAAGCCTCTGGTTTAACAGCAGCCTTGATTCATTTTTAGCTGAACCTTGCATCACGATTGAAAATGGAGCTCAGTCTGGCATGCTTTGCTGTTTAAAGTGATGCATTAGACTGAGATGTAGCTTTATGAAGCTAAAATGCTCTGTATTGTTGAAGGGATTGGGAACCGTAATTTGCAATTTGCCATTTCTATTTTTGAACTGGGCAGAAGGTGCTGTTTTATAAAGGTCTCCTTGGTGAGACAATGATCTTGCCGATTAAAATAAATACACATCATGACACTTGGCTTATCATTAGAATTGCATTTGCTTTTTTTCCGTGAATACTAACATTTATTTGACATCCCGTTTCATGCTGTGTTTTTAGTATCTAGGTCTCATTTAATGCGTCAGACTAAAACATTATTTTACATCCATTAATGAATCTTTATTGTTGTTTTAGGGTATTAGTGGAGCTGCTGGTCCTCTAGGTCCTCCTGGTCCCCCTGGTCTACCTGTAAGTATTTTACTTCATTAAATGTTTAATGGAATTCAGGTTCCCTTATAGAATGACTTTGCCAAATAACTGTTGTGTCCCATGTGATGCAGGGTCCTCAAGGTCCTAAGGGAGCTAAGGGTTCAAGTGTAAGTACAAACCAGGCTATTGCATGTACAGTATGTATAATAAGTTAGTTTTAATCACGCTGCTGTGTGTTTTTTGCAGGGTCCTGCTGGTCCAAAGGGAGACACTGGTTCAATTGGTCCCCCTGGTCCTCCTGTACGTGTTTTTAGACCATCTTAGTGCATCTTGTGATTGTGTGTGTTAAAATGATCATAACTACACATGAGATAGAGTTAGTAAACCTCTCCTTCTTGTATGAAATCAGGGCCCCCCTGGTGAGGTTATCCAGCCTCTACCCATTCAGTCACCCAAGAAGACCAAGCGCTCCAGTGACACGCAGTCAGATGCCACTGGCTTCTGGGATTATGGCCAAGGCATGGAGGACATCTTTGGCTCACTCAACAATCTCAAACAGGACATTGAACGGATGAAATACCCCATGGGAACACAAAACAACCCAGCCAGAACATGCAAAGACCTCCAACTGTGCCACCCTGAGTTCTCCGATGGTAAGCCTTAGCCCTGCATCTACCCATGTCTCTGTGTATAGAAGGAGTTAAAGGTTTGAGCATCTCTACTTATTCAATTTGATAAAACAAAACATTCAGTCTTTGGACTGGATTGGTTGATTTCACATCTGAGGGGGAACACAATCTCTTATGCCTGAATCTTACTTAAATCAATCATAACTAGTCCTAATAAAGATGAACAATGAAGTTTGCTGCGTCGTCCTAAAACCTTTATTTCTTTTCGGTGCCTATCTAGGATTTTATCTCCACACTTTCTTTAAGTTTTCTATAATAAATATAAAATTGTACTGTGTAGATTTTTTGTAGGTGATGATGCAGAGACCATCAGCTGTTCTGACAGATGATGTTATGTGTTGGATGCAAACGCAAAAAAAAATCAGACCCTGTGAAGCTTTCCATATTTTCATCTAATAACCACTTAATTTTGTTGTACCTTATTCTGATTGTATGTGTTCAAGCCAGAGATAGGGGATCTAAAGTCAACTAGTTGAACTAGATGAACCAGGTGAGTCCAATCTGGTTTAACCTGTGCAGACTGGACTCACCTTTTTCAGTGGATGGGCAGATCAAATACATGACATAGAAATTACTTGACTCCAGTTCCCCCATCTCTGGTTCAAGCTGCACAAGGCAGGTCATGTTTCAGTGCTTATGAATAACCCAAGATCATCAGACTGAATAAATGGCTTCATTAAAGCCCAAAACAAACACAACCTACAACATTCCTTTACATTCATCTACAGCAACAATGACTTTCAATGTGTTCTGATAGCTTGGCAGTTTCAAGGTATTCTTTCATCTTAGATAATGAATTGATACACATTGTGCAGTGATTAAAGCTTGAAATTCAACTGATCCCTACTTAATAATCAAGTGATGTCCAAAAGCCATTGGTTGGATTTATTTAGAGGTATATGAATACAGAGGGTTGAGTACAAATGTTGCTCAAAGTTTTCATAATTTAGTTTTTACAATTTTTTTTCCTAATTCACAGTGCTGCAGTAGGTTAAGGGGTTCTAACACCTGAACTCCCCAAAATGGAACAATAAAGTTTTATGGTTGTAAAATATGAACGGGATCGAGGGGTTTAGATGAATTCGTAATTCTGCTTTAAGTTTCATACAACAAAAGATACATATGAAAAATTTGCAAAAAAAAATCATCTTGTTTATTTTTATCATTTGTCACACTTTGTAGTGGAGTAAATCACTTTTTCTGTGTTATTTTTTGACATCAGATGAACCGAATATGTCCTTGGTTCTTTTCAGGGGAGTACTGGATCGATCCAAACCAAGGCTGCTCTGGAGACTCTTTCAAAGTCTACTGTAACTTCACAGCTGGGGGTGAAACCTGCATTTATCCAGATAAAAAATCCAATGGAGTGAGTGATTTTGGCTTAACACAACTAACCTAACGACCCTCTCTCAACCTATAATAGGCTTCTTGCTGGATTTGTGGCATAGTGTAGTTATCAAAGAAGGATGTGTTCTAACCTGGGGAGATTTTTGCAAACAAATGAATGTTTCCCCTGACATTGGGAAGTTTATTTGAAAGAAAAAACAAGGAAGTCTTGTTTTTGTTACCACATAATAATATAAGATCTTATCCCCAAGGCTTTGCTTTTATACAACAAACAGTTTTCATGTTTTCCTCTTGATTGATTGCACGTTATAATATCCATGATGATATTCACAATTCCCACGCACTTATTTGTTTTCTTTTGTTGTTTGCAGGTCAGACTATCCTCTTGGCCTAAGGATGTTCCAGGTTCATGGTTCAGTGAATTTAAGCGCGGTAAATTAGTAAGTGTTTTTGTTTTTCATCAATTTCCTCCTGCTCTAATCATACTTCAGTCTGGGCTTCATCCTCTGTGTTGTTCTTGAATTCTCTAATCGCCTGTGATGTTGCTCAGAGTTTTTGCTGCTTTCAGTAAGTTTTCATGCAAAAATTACCGATGTATGATTCAAAAAAGCTCAAACTTTTAACGTTTAAGCATGTTTTTTTAATATTTTAGACAAAGTCTAAAGAAGAAGGTATTTCAAGCAGACAAGAAGTTATTTGAAGACATATTATGTGCAGTCAGATGTGTCTCTTTTCATGTAGTGTCAGAATATTCCCAATTCCAGATAAAACCTCATCTGTAGATCCTAATGTTATGTTGTAGAAAGAGAGATAGAGTTTTGTCTTCTCTACCTGGTTTATATTTTTATGTCTTTCATCAGAGGGAACATTTTTCATTGTCAACCAGTTCATGTCGTCACTGAACTGAAAGAGCTTTCGAGAATAACAGCTTAAAGTTATGAAGGTCATTTATTACTAAGAATGAGATTCAATGTTAATCAATGCATTAGTTGTATTGAAGCAAATTTCACCTTTACAAAATATCTTCTGGCTTTTTTATGTAAACTGTGAATTTGAATTTGAGTAAACATGAGGTCATTTTTTTCTAGAAAATGTGTGACTTTTTACCCAAAAAAGCAAGCAATATGGTAGTATTTATACAAGATAAAGAGATATACAGTAATGTAATACCTACTGTATTTACTAATAATTTTTATGTTCATTGTAAAAAAAGTAAATCAACATTTTTTTCTTCTGCTAGGAACATTGTTGCAGATACAATAATCTTAACCATTATGCTTGCTGTTTTTTTTCAGTTCTGAGAAATAGAATCAAGCAGAAACACAGAATAAACTTGCAGCAAGTTTATTTAGAAAAAAATACAGTTGAATTTGTCTTTTTTTTCTGCAAATTGTATGTCCTTCTGCAAGATGAGTGGTAGTGAGCAGGAGCAGCCAGTTTAAGGACAGCACTGTTTCAGTTGGCAATCCATACAGCCTTGGAAAACTCCCATCTGTTTCTGGTATCTCCTTAAACCGAAGGGATGACATCACAGTATTTTTGAGTGGCTTGGATTTTAGGAGAGTTTAAAAATTTGATAGATTTTTGAATTAAGAAAAGAAAAAAAAAAACTGCCTGGCAACAGCATGAACAGATAAAACATTCATAGAAATATAACAAAGCCTGAACTAGAGCACCAGGAAAGTAACTGAAGCTCTATAGGGATGTTTAAAAGAATACATCTAATACAATGAAGAGGTGAAGCAGATATATACATACTAGAAGAAAAGATTAACTATACTTCAATTCAATAGTACTTTCTTAATCCCAAAGGGCAATTACTGTATTTTTAGGTACAGCCCATCCAAAGCATGGGAAGATGAGGTGCCCATGGCCCTTCTGCCATTAAAAGCGTTGTCCTCAAAAGGATGAAAAAGGACATGCAATATGAGAGCTTTTAACCTGAAGCCACATTTTAATTGCAATGCAGAACACATTTGCTTTGCAAGACTATAGTAGTTATCTGTATTTTTTCAGTAGTACTTAACTATCAAAACGTTTATTTTACATACAGTTGTACTTAAAAGGGTGCATACAGTTCCCTTCCACTAAAGAAAATGGTAAATTCACACTAGTAATTCAAATAACACCAAACTGAAAAATTCATAATAAATAATAAATGCTAAACAAAAAAACTGTCGCAGACAAATTAAGGTAGATTGCTCAAGAATAAAGAACCAACATACCTGTCAACAGGTGCAAAAGTGTGACTGAACATTACAGAAATTACCTGATTTCAGTGATAACCTCAAAGTGTATATATTCTATACTGTTGTATTCCAAATGAGCATATTGGTACTAATCTCTTGTAGATATACACTGATGCATGTGTTTTAAAGGAAATGCCAGTACCGAATATATCGACATCAGTCTAACCAATCTGCAATATGTACTCCTTATTATCTGGGAGCAATTTAATATCGTTTCTTGTCCATATTACTTTCTCTTTCTTCAGTCACATGATAAAAATTACGCATTGATTACAAAGGTAACACGAGTCTTAATTTAAACAAAAATGAATATTTCTTACAAAGCATGGAAAACGTTAACAATGGAGTAATCAGCAATTCATCCACTTCAATAAATGTGCTTATGATATTAAGGTATGAGATAATATCAATGCTAGTCAAGTTAAATAATAATAATATATATAGTCCTTCTGGTTTGGACTGAATTGTTCCAGTGGGACATCCTAATGGTGCTGAAAGAATAATTCAGTCAACCTCTTAAACCCTATAATATATCATGTCCTACAAACCTTTTTCAAACCCTGTTTACGCAGGTCAATGGCACTCGGACATCAGTCAATGGGTTTATATTGATCACCATGCGCTCACTTCATCACAACCCAACAGCTGCACATTACCCTAAAGCATCTTCTCTTTTTTTTTTTTGCCAATTTTGTTCTGGCATCCGTGTGAGCACTGATGGGAAAGTTGCTGGAGGCAATAGTCAGTTGGGGAACCTGAATTGTTCTGCCTCTAAAACAGTCCTGATAGTTTGAGCTAGAAAAGGCGGTAATGAGCTATTTGTTTGGAACGGTTAATATTCTCAACCAACTGTTTAATCACCTCAGTGAGATTGTTCAGTGTTGATAAGCGGTCTCTGTCTTTAGATCATCATCTGTCTCTCACTGGAATACTTTTAGCTAATACTAATCTTTCTGTATAAAAAGAAATAAAGATATTTATTAAATATTTTATTTAGGGCATTATGTTTCAGCGTCAGACCACTTAGGTTCTCATGCTCGCTCATTTTGGCTGCTTTTAACTAAGAAATATTAATGTTTCGTCCGATCTGTGTGCAAAAATTGACAGAAAACATTTAGACTATATGAGCAGCGCAAGATTAATAAAATCTGCTTTGATCCTTGTTCAACCCAGAGAGAATGAATGCAAGATCTTTGATGTTTTATTTTGATTTTCTACCTAATGTGCGCCCACCCCTGCACTTTAGAGTTTTAAGATGATATATAATTAACACTGCTTTCAAAACAAGTTGGATGTATTCATTAGGGCAGCATATACACCTCTTTTTCTGCATTAATGTTGAAGTTGCAGATAAAGAAATGAGCTTTTAGCTAAACCACTGGATAGATGGAAACAGGTACATCTAAACGATAACACTGCATCATCAAAAGGTTCATTTGTTTCAGTGATTGAATTAAAAAAAATAAAACTGAGTGAGTATTCATTATAATGGCTTTCATGTCATAATACACATTTGTTTTTTTATGAAATAAGAATGTGAGTATATTATAAGAAAAGATGTCCGTTTAGATTTTAGATTTAAAAAAATAGAAAGTAAAAACACAGAGGACCAATAGCAGCAGATGATATGGCTCCCAAAATGATCAGTGACTGAGAAGACAATGCATTTTAAGCAGCTTAATTAAAAAGTTCTTTCCATTTACTTATCTTCTGTTTCCTTGTTTTCCCGGATAGTTTTCCTATGTAGACGCTGATGGAAACTCGATCAACATGGTGCAAATGACCTTCCTCAAACTACTGACAGCCTCAGCCAGGCAAAACTTCACCTACAACTGCCACCAGTCTGTGGCATGGCACGATGCGTCCAGCGACAGCTACGATAAGGCGCTGCGGTTCCTGGGCGCCAACGATGAGGAGATGTCTTACGACAACAATCCTTACATTCAGGCCATCTCAGATGGATGTTCGGTAAGCTGTGTGAATGAAGAGAAACTGAGAAGTAGTGATGAACTAGTCAGTTTACAGACATTTCTAGGTATTGGAAAGCCATGATTGGCGGATTCAACTGTTAGTCAATTCTGATTTTTGTTAAAGAATTATCATATTGGAAGATAAAATAGCATTGATATTTTCTACACTTCCTCCTAGCCAAAAGAAGTAGGGTGACCAGACGTCTTCTTTTTGCCAGACATGTCCTACTTTTCATACCTAAAAAAAATGCCCGGGGGGGAATTTCAAAATCGTGCAGGATTTTGGTCAGAACCGAGCCGTCAGCACCGCAGTAAAGTTGGTTTAAAGTTGGATTTTGGATATTCAGGCTCCGCGGAGTCAGCGGGATCTAGCAAACGGTGGATCCGCCTATGGGATATCGGCCAGTGTCTCTCTGCTTCTTTCTCCTCCTGGTGCACCTCCACGGTGGTGCAGTTAGGGACCGTGAACAAATCTTTGAACCAAGCACTCTTGAGATACAAAAATCAATTAATTCCTTATGTTATGACCAGCTAAGAAGAAACTAATATAAAATCATGCAAATAGATAACATATGTAAGGCACACTTGCTTTTATACAATTTTAAGCTATTTTAAAATTTTAAGGTATTTTTTAAAGACTTTTCTTCAATAGCTTCCAGGTCATGTGACCCACTGACTCCAAATCTATGTATATGTATGTTCTGCTACTTTAGCCAGATGAAGCACATTCATTTTTATCCCATTTCAAGCCTTTGTTTATTTTTGCCTTACCGTGCCGTGACTCTGTAAGATTTCTTTGGCCTTTTAGGGACGATTTTTCAGTCCTGCGAAAATGTTTGGATCGGGCCAAGATTCAGCCTTATTGTGCGCCCTGCATCGCATACAGTAATATAGAGGGGCTAACGAGGGCTGATTAGCCTCTCACAATTACTTCCAGATCGGGAATCATACAGTCAGATAACAATCAAACTTCAGTCGGCCCTCCTGAAGTGACCGTGAGTTGCTGTTGAAGCAGAGTTACAACCCAATTTACCTAAACATCGCATATTGTGCATGTGCAAAGAAGGGAACTAGTGTGAGCAGTTTGACTGGTTCAGAGCATCAGAGTTAGGGTTAGTGTAAGAACAGATATCGTGAAGTGTGAACTTTTGGAGCTTAAGCTGAAAACAATGATTGAAAAGTTCATACAGTGTATAACCGTCTTAATATTGTAGCTAATAAAAAGTCGTCTCCATCTTAACATTTTTAACAGTTTATCCTGTTAATAAATTACATTAAATGTGAAGAGACTGCTGTCTTATCTTGGTTTCAAGTCAAAAAATGTCTTTATCTCTGGTTATTTCTTTATTTTTTATTATTATTTTTAGTATTTTTTACAGATTAGTTGTAATTAATCTCTATTTGTTTTCTGTCTCTCTTGCTGCAGACACGACATGGCAATGGAAAGACTGTATTGGAGATCAATACTCCCAAAATTGATCAGGTTCCAATCGTCGATGTCATGTTGACTGATTTCGGAGACCCGAACCAGAAGTTTGGGTTTGAAGTAGGACCTGTCTGCTTTCTTGGATAAACAAAATTCAAACAAAAGACTTGATGAGGACAGCGAATAAAGTCAAGCCAGGACATCCTGGGTGCCACCAAGCCCCCATTTTAAGCCCCGCCCCCACCCTTTTCTATGCCACATGCAAGTTTTGAATGAGAGTTGACGTAGCAAACATGTCTTTCCATGTATGCTCGTGTAATCCTGGAAATGCGTGTTGCCCTCGTAGGGCCTGAACCACATGACTAAAGCACGGTAGAAAAAATGGGGAAGGACATCAGAGCGAGTGGCTGACGAGAAGAGGTCGGAGGTGAACAACAGACGGGGTCTGGTGACATGAGGTGAAACAGATCTCTTCACTGAATTCTCCAGGTGCTGTGATGAAAATAACAACAATGGTGCTGATCAAAAAAAAAAAACACAAAAAGTATATAGTGGTGCTAAGAAAGAAGGTGTATTTTGATAATTATAAAAAAATGTAATTATTATTTTGTACAATACTGTTATTTCTAAATCCACTTTCAAAACTTGCATGTGTATCAGAACCTGCTTTGGGCTCAAATGTATACAGAGTAAGTTAAATCCATCATTACTTCTGGTTTTTGTCATTTTTTCTCTACATTCCGTGTATTTGTCATGAAGCAAATAAAAACAAGCATTTAAATAATGTTCTATTCCAAATTAAACTGCATGCCCCGTTGTATATACTGTCTGTCCAAAGCTTAAGGTTTCTTGCTGTTTCACTCTTGTGACTGAAGGTGAAACAATTGCATCTTACACATCAGCACAAATAGGGCAACATCTCCCACTAATGTTGTGATCCTGTGCTCCTAGAAGGCAATTACGTCCTCGTTTTTATCTTTATTTAATTATATTTGTTGTTTTTGTTTCTTTCGGTTTCACTTTTTATGACTGGCTTTTGCTTCGGTTGTATACCTCAGAGTTTCTCAATAACCTTTAAAAAAGCAAGGATTCTATTCCCTGTATATACCCTGATTTAAGAAAAATAAATTTATATATTTTGGGTGGGGATTTTTTTTTTTTTTAAAGAGAGAAAAAAAAAACACCTAAACTGTTAGACATCCACTGTTCAGATCCTTCTGTGAATGCAATGAGAAGCCTTTGCAGTAACCAACTTTTGTTACTAAAATGAGAAAATGTGTCATTGTGCTGTTTTTTTTTAGTTCATTTAAATATTAAAAATGGATTCTAAACAATAGTGAATCAAACGTCTCAGTTTGTAAAAGATGTTGGGGGAGAAATTCATCAGGAAACACACTTTGCTACAGGTTTAATAGGAAAATGCCCACATTTTTTATTTAAATGTGTTTTCATGCAAGAGGAATTAGGTCTGTCCAAAACAAACAATATTTCTAAAAGAGAGAAACCGCAATGAAAGCTATTTTTTATTATTATTATTCTCTCATTATATACAGAATTGTCAGGAAGTGAGTTAAACTTTTGTGAAACAACTTTTTTTTAAACAAGATTTAAGTCACCTATTTATAAGAACAAAGAAAATTTGAAACCAAAACTATATCTGAAGCGTGGGTTTGAAAAAGTTAAGAGAGAATCTTCTGGGATTGCTTCGGTAGGAACAAAAACAGAGAAACAGACAGAAGGCAGATATTTCTTGTAGATGACTTATCTAAGTGTGTTTGAAGGGAAAGAGAAATGCAAACAGTTCGAAAATCTGCCTTTGATTAAATTCTTGCTCTCCTTCAGGAGGGCAAATCGTCCTACATATTGCTTAAGCATTGATTGTACAATGATTTGCAAAAAACATTCAGCTTCTTTGATCGTTTTCTCATTCTGTCATGTTACAACCCCAAAACTCTAAGATTTTATGCTATAGATACCAAGTAGGTTATAAATGTAAAGCAGAATGACACACAACGGCCTTAAGAGATTACCAGATATTTTATTAGGTAAACTTCAAGTTTTTCTTCTCACAAAAAGGAACCCAACTAATAACCAAGCACTACGGTAGTGCATTTAAGTATCTTGATGTGATGAAGACAACTTGCTAAAGTTCTAATGAATCACTGTGTTCTTTATACAAGCTTTGTAAGAAACACATTTATGTGCTTCAGTGATTGTAACTCTTCAGAAGTAGTGGTGCCGCTGTGAGATCGTGTAGGGGGAAAATAGGCAGAAGAAAGTGAGAAAAGTGATAAAGGCTGGAACACACCTGACACAATTTAGCATTAGATTGTAAGAAGTGGTAGCAATTACATCGTATATACATGCATGGAACCGTTCTGTTGCAGTTCAGAATGAAAAACAATGAGCTCAAAGTTCAGTTCACACAGACGAAAATTAAAAACTCACATTCATAGTTTACTTTTTCAAAAATGAACTAAGTTCACAACTCTATAATTGAACTAAGCCACAATTCTACAGAATAGAACCTCATATTTCACCCTTTAAATATGTGATATAATACATAGAAAGAAATGGAAAATATTTGATACAGTCAAGGTATACTGTATGTGCAGTGCAGGTCTAGCTCAGGGATCCAGAGTGGCAATCTCTAGGGAGGGAAGCTTGAACTCAGAACCTCAGGATACCAAGCGCAATGCCCAATCCACTAGACTGCCACTCCCCAAAGCAGGCATTAGCCTAAAGGGTCTTGCCTGACGACCCACACTGGGAGCTCATCCCCGCCAGCTGGGATACGAACCCAGGCTTCCTGTTTGCAGGATGGATGACTTGTCAATTGAGGCAGCCAGTCGCTAGCCGAAACTTGATGTGTCGCTTTAAATTTGAAGTGGGCTTGGCTGAAGTACAGACTTGATTGTTAAGTCTCTAATTTAATGCGTTCATGTACAGCACTGCATGGAATCCAGCTTATAGCCATAACTGTGATTAAATAGTTCAGGCCGAGGTAGACCCCTGGGCTGTCTTGGTCGAACCTATAAGTTTCTTAGGAAGGACCAGACGAAGAATACGGTGGCAAAGATTAACACATCCACTTTGGGAAAAATACAAAATGTAATCTCTGAATTCCAAGGTAAACAAGTCTGGAAACAGAGTTTGTATAAAGCAAGCTAGGTGACTTGGGCACAAACAACAAAACATTTTAATAAATAGTGTACTGTACCCATGGTAAGAGCACAGTATTAATAAAAACAAATCAAGCTTGTAAGAGCAGCAACTGAACCCTTTACTCCTTACCTTCGTCACGCTGAGAAGGTTTCCCAGTACATACTCTATTGTGAATACTCGATCTGCAGCAATGGTTCATAGAAGGATCGTGTTCTGGTCTTTAAATAGATTTATGTTGTTCTGCTAAGCCAAAAAAAGAGAATTCAAGAAATATAAAGCCTGTGTATGGTTGCCAATGCCACTTAGGCTAGTGTGTGTATATTCAGAATTTACTGATCTGCCCTGGGTTTTTAACAGTGGTCAACTTTCTGGTTTACAGTCGATGTTCGTAAGATGAAAAACTAACATCCACAGCTGTGTGGATTCAAATGCATACTGTGTGGTAGAAATTAATGCACAGATTTATTTTCAAAATCCTGATCACACAACACAGTTGGTCTGCAGCAGCAGAAGACCTAACCAGGTGCCATCCATGTCAGTTTACAACAGCATTTCCAGGCTATAGTTTAAGCAGGCTTACCAGAGTAATAACACCTCAGACTAAAAAGACCACTGGCCTGACTGATCCTGAGCAGCAATATTCATATAGGAATTTGGTGTTAAACGAATTAAGGTCTTGGATCCATTCTTCATTTTATCAATTGTTCCTGATGGTGGTAATGGTTTGATGCTGCCTGAAATATTTCCTTGGCTCAACGAGCATACCATGAACACAACAGCCTACCTGAGTATCACTGCCTATTATGGTTTCTTCCAATAATTGAAAAAGCATACTGGATGAGAAGCGAAAACATCTTCAAACTTGGAATACAAAGTCCAGTGGTCCAGGGTACTACCCCGTCTGAAGAAATTGCCCCTAAGGCCAGATCTCACCTCATCTCATCCTAATTTGTTGGACAATATAATGAGCTAAACCTACATCACTTGAAAATAGAAACATTCAACATGCTTATGATAATGCTGGTGAAGATTCTCAGTCATCCAGGTTGTAGTCTTTCCAAAAAAGTTAAAAAAACAATCCATCTTTCCCATGCAGGAACAGGGTAACAGATCACCTTGCCTCTTCAGCCAGGTCAACAATTCCCTTTAGCACCCCCCTTTCAGAGACATAGACAGGTATGGGGTATTGCAGGCTAAAAAAGAAGCCAAACCACCCCCATTCCTAAGGGATGGACCCGTTCGTTCGTTTAAATTTGCATGTTTTCTAAGCAAAAAACAAGGCTTTGTTGGGCTACAGTATAAAGCCTCAAACTCAACACTCGTTCTGACATTTTGAATTGATAAAGCTTCATGGATGGGAAGTGAACCATCTTCAAACTTTGAAACAAAGTCCAGTGGATTGTTTCTAACTTAAAAGTAATTGTGATTACAAGTAGCTGAAAAATCTTCCAGCATTTTGGGGATTTTCTTTGACCAATCTGTGGCTTCAACGGCAATACAAAAGCAAGTGGATGAAATCCTGCAAGAACACCTGAGATGGCTTAAAAGACTTCTGGGGAGGAGGTCAGCCTTTCAGCAGGACAATGACCAACAATCATAATCACGTGTTTGAATCGATAGGTCAAATCTTAAAGATCTAACATTTCTGTCACAACCTCGCCAGCTTTCAAGGTGCATGAAAAAATAATAGATTTACTGGCAAGGATGAAAACTTCAGCAACACTTGAAGTACAGGAACACACTGTACAGACCAACATGTTTCGGCTTGTGACCTCGAAGAAAAACAAGCTTAAATGCATTGGCCTGTGATGAAGTTACTCTCTGTAATATATGCAAAAATCAAGCACCACTTACCGTCACCTTTACAACAATGTGATGTGAAAGTTTATGTCAGTGCTTTGCATATGCTGTGGCATCGCATGTGCAATGCCTGCATGCAAGATCTAAAATAGTGAGATTCAACTGATCAGTTTATAATTACATGAGGGGTACTTGTGCAGGTAGGATCTCTTCTTGCAGAGCTACAGAAGATGAGATAGCAACATGTCCTCCAAGCCACATCATGAATTTGGCTCGAGCAATATATTGGAAAAAATAAAGCAAAAAACAAGGAAACTTGTACTTCCCTTACCATGACAGGGTTAATATTTATTTTAGTGCCAACATGCCTGTGTAATCTAATTTAGGCCTGTTGTGTGATTTCAGTTTGAAGTATCCTTTTCATAAGTCCGTTTTTAATAGATATTCATTTACTTATTTCAGGTTAAAGTTTTTTTTTCTTTATTTATTTCTATTGAATCATTTTTTGTTTCTTTTATTTGGCTGAATACACTGAAGGTGCTTTGTCTACTTGTGTCTAGATAAAAATTTGTTTGGGTGACTGATTTTTCAGAGAGATCAAAGCAAGGAAAAGCTGAATGCAAATCCAGTCGACGCCTTTTGGGTTTTATCTTTTTTGTTTACTTCACAATCATACACTAGTCTGTGTTTGTCAATCCCATAAAATCTGTTAAACTTGTAGCTGTAAAGTTACAAAATGGAGGAACAGAATTTCTTTGCTTTCAATGAAATCCTTCAGTTTTGATCCTTCAAATTTTGTATGGGAGAAAACAACTAATAAGTATTCAGTCTGGCTAAAGAGGTCTACCGCACCTCGAAAGCACTGACCACCTCCAATCCTTTCCATTTCTTGCTGGAACATTGAGAAAAACATCCCCATAATGGCAACAGATGCCTGTATGTATGTGTGTGTGTACGAAGCCAAATAAAAAATTGAGGCTGTATTTTTCTTTTATCTCCGAGGCTCTGCAGCAAAGTGGCAAAAGAGAATGGATCACGTGGAACTGCACACACAAAGAAAACAATCAGGAAAAGACTTGGCCATAACTCCACATGAGAATCAATCAATCCGCAATCTACATTGCTTTCAACCTGCTTTGGAGTCCTTTTACAC